ATGACGATGAGGAGTCTCAATCATGATGCACCAGCCCTAGGACTCGGGAGTCAACGATCGGGAGTCGTGCTCACGAATCACGATGCTACCTAGATCTCTGCTTTTCTGATCATTGTCAAGAACATATATAAAGTGCATTGTCATGATGCCTCAACGAGCTGACTAAGCCGCTGAGCTGCAAGATTCCAGCATTGGCCGAGACTGTTGCAGTGTTGGATACAGCTTCACGATTCATTGCGGCAGACCGGGGGCAGGACGATCAAATGCGAGAAAGAAAGTGTACAAAGAGGTGGCGCTTCTCAACGAAGGCGCGTGCGCTCAGGCCCAGAGGGACGAGTATTACAACCAGACGCTATTATTTCAATGCATTGTGCATTGATCCTAAGAGACGCTTGAGCTGTATTCCCTGATTTCCTTTGAGCTTGGGCCGCCTTTGTTTTGGATCAGACGCTCAATGGCGACCTCTTCTCTCTGTCATTTGAAGTCCCGTTTCTGCGGAGTCCTTTTCCGCCCACCGCCTCAATCTTCTGCAGAAACAGTACGGTTTCCAACCGCAGCCCCACGCATTAGTCGAACTCCAACCCTCCAGGTGAATGAGCTCAGATTTTACTGCTCCACATCAGCGGGCACAAACGCTTGTTCGTTATAGGAGCCCTTCTGATGTCTTCCCTTATGCTCTCCACTCTCCAGCTAGGTGGTTTCTCTCCAGCTAGGTGCAGTTGCAACATTGCTTGAAGGAGCCAAAGATTCAGCAGCTTTTGTCCATAGCAGCCCTTTGCTTAACAAGATGAAAGATCAGAGTTACGAGTGAGAAGTTGAGTGGAAGGTCCATACAAAGCATACTGCTGAACAGAGATCTCTTCTGGACAACTGACTCAGCCCTGTACACATTTACAGTTTGATATTGAGGTTAGGTGATGGAAAGGTCATTTTTTGTGTGCATTTCCGCACCCGCTCTCTCTTGCGCCTGATGAAATGGAAGCTTTAGTTGCTGTCCAAGTGATCAGGCCACCAGAGGAGCATTGCTCTCTGCAAAGTCTTCTATAGATCTGACAAAGCTCAACATACTTACCTGGAACCCTGGGTGCAATCCGCCAGTCCATACCAATTGTTCTAGCAGATTAGCTGCAAATGATGTTAGCTGAACCCTACTGTTTACGCTTTCCTTTCCAGCAAAGGCCATCCCACAGGGCTTGCAGTCCTCTAGGGAAACCACTCTATAAAACCAAGAAGAAGGCAGCATCATCGAGGCAGGCCGCATTGCAAGGCAGCATCGTTACTGACGTCAGCCTTCCAGGTAGGTAGAGAAGAAGATGTCCGCAAGAAAAGCTTCCGGGATGAAGGTGTTCATACACCACAGTCATTTGACGCCGAGGCTAGGAAGCCAAAGTTGCCAGGCTTGTCCCTTTCTCATGCCTTTGAAGAACATCAGGATGCTAGAACATCCGAATGTACCGTCCTAGCCAGGTTTGTTTGGCCACTTTCTCAAGCAGTAGTGCCTTTAAGCCCTTTGTCAGAAGTTTCGGCCCACAATTGCCACAAGGTAACTCTCCGGATAGGGATCAGAATGCATTTTTCCACATAAGAGCATGCAGCTTCCTGGTTGGGGCGCCCAGCAAAAGCAGCCTTCAAGTTGGCATTCCCGATCCTGTACATGTTTATATCCGATAAGGTATCAACCCATACGCTGGCAAGTTCTCCGGTGGGACTCGGTTTGTCATCAACCGATATTGCGCGCTGTGCTGCAGCCGTTCTGGCCCCTCCCCAAGACTTTTCCACCAACCCGCCGCAAGACCCTGCAGCATCAAAGCGGAACGACATTCAGCGTCCGGAAGACGACAGGGTTCTTTCCTGGAAGAAGATCTGGTTTCCTGTCGCTATCCTGGCAGACCTGGACGTGCAGAAACCAACGTCGGTTACGCTGCTCAACATCGAAATGGTGATCTGGCGAGAGCAGGGGGGGGCTTGGGCTGCTTTCATGGACAGGTGTCCTCATAGGTGGGTACTTAGCTTGCCGTTCTCTGCTTCTGTTTTGGCTAGGGCACTTCAAATTGCCAGTGAATCTCGAAGGGTGTCTAGGCTCCTCTTTGGATGAAAGAGAGTTGAGCGTAGCAGCTGCCAAGATCAGGTGGCCTCCAAATAAAGGAGAAACGTTCTACTGATGCGAAAGGGCCTTCACTTTGTCTGAATTTGGGCTTGCAAAGCGATTGAGTGAGCTCCCACTTACAATCAACAACGCCGCTGCTTTGCTGGTGAAGTACTTTCATTCACAACTGGAGCCGCAGACTTTTTTGTTTCGGTTGAGTCTTCGTTCCATTTAGCAATTTCTTTCTCGTAAGGAACACTTTCAGCGAATAATCACACTTTTCGTGCCAGGCTCGCACCACTTTCCGAGGGTCGGGTGGAGAAGGGCGTCCTACAGTGTGCCTATCACGGCTGGGCGTTCGATAAAAAGGGAACATGCGTCCGCAACCCGCATGTAAGCCTCTGGCCCCCATCTTCGACCCCAACTTACACGAAGCTTTTAGAGCTCTTTCAACAAAGCACCTGCAAGCGGACTCTCAGAACTCTTTCCGGATTCGAAATTGAATTTTGAGTTGGCTGGAATGTCCTTCTTCTTTGTCAGCCTGGCTTCGCCCTCCTGGGGCGAAACGTACATAGCCCTGAGATCCATGAAGGCTGTACTCGGTGTTGAATTGAGCACTGAGTCAACCGGGTTAATCGCAGTTAGGCGGGTTAACTGGAGCCTTTGCTCTGATGAAGTGCCCGGTTCACATGAATCCGCTCAACATTGAAAGGCTTTCTCTGGACCTTGGGCGGCTGTTCAGCATCCCATGTCAGCCCCGTCTGTAGCCGAGCCGGACTCAGAGGATGTATGGCTTTACTGATTCTGAACAGACAGAGAGGGATCCAAGGTTCATTTTCTTTCTGACGGTTGTGCTCAGCTAGTTATATCAGGTTCGTTTGTGACAGTGGCGCGAAAACAAAGAAGGCCTCGGGTCGGGTGCCCGCGGCCGGTCTTAGCAGGCGGCCAAGTGACTGCTCTCATAATGGCTGTTCTCAGAGGCACGTGTGTCAGAATCACAAATAGGCTTAGCCGTACTATTTTTCCTGATGAGCCACGAGAGAACACGCGTCTTGTGGAAAATAACGGCACCGCTTCTGGCCACCCCTTCTGGCTGACAAGTCTGCAATTGAACATCGTCAATCGTGAGGGCTAGCTCCCTTTCAAAAACATGCGTTTTCTCAGAGCAAACCCATCAACACTCGAAATTTCTGGAATCCGTGGTCAACAAGTACTGGCCAACCCCTGCGCTTCTCTTTCATTCTTTACGGTTGGGACTTGTCGGCTGCCAATCACGAAACCTGACCACCCACCGTGCCGCCACGTGTCAGGCGGACAGTCCGCAGGCCGAGGCAAAGGTGTGCTCGGATCGAAGGTCGCGGTGTCAGAGCTTTCCCACTCGGGAGGCCCACGGTCTCCTGTGGGTCTGGCCGGAATCCGGCACCGATGCCTGGCTGGAGGCGTCCATGCACGCTCTCCCGGAACATCCGGAGTTGCTCGACCCGGGGTGGGTCGGTTCTGAGGGGTGAGGCCGTACCCTTCGGTGCACCGAAGCTTGTCCATGTATACTTATTCTCGTCATGAGTTTGCAGAAAGGTTTGATTTGCGAGAGTCTCACGTGCTTAGGAGATTCTGAGACTTTTATGTCAGCCGGAAGAAGCTTTTGGCAGGGATAGCTCATGGTTTCGAAGAGAGGGACACCGCAAACAAAGCCGCGGCTTCTGGTTGGCCTTTGCGCTATCCAGACGTCACAACTTTGAACAACTTAGCGTGTCCTTCTGAACGTCCTGAAAGCAGAAAAGAGTCATGTTTCCGCTACACGGAAGAAAGACGCGAGAACCGTTTGCGGAGCTTGACAGACCGCTCCATTAGACGTCCTTCTTCATCACCGATTTTTCGGGTAATTTCTTGACCGTCCCTGCAAAGGCAAAGCTACGGGAAAAGCTCCGCTTCAACTTACAGCGGTGCTAACACATGAGTCCACTGTAGCGCGCAAGAACACAAGCTTCGAGATCCTTCAACCCGGGTTACACAGCGTCCTCTTCAAAAGCAAATCAGAGGAGTGAACCAGCTAATTGAATTCACGTGCAGGCCGTTCAACCGGCTTGACGAGCCCATCAATTGGGACATCATGGTCGAGAACGCAATGGACCTGGCTCACGCGCCGTTTGTGCACCACGGGGTAGTTGCAAAGATGGAGGATTACAGACCGATGCACGCGGAGCTGACAGAAGCCTCCGACGACCCATCTAGAGTGAGAGGGGTTTTGAGAGAGATTGACGCCCGGGAATCGAACTTGCGTTCTGGTTGCGGGCGCATAGCATTTGCCACCTCAGAATCCGAAGGGCCGTGAAATTTGCACTTTTTGAAGAGGCAGCCAATTTGTAGACCAACGTCTAGTGTTTCGAAGGCCATCACCTCGTTGTTGTACAAGAGCAGCGGAACTGGTTTCATTGAAAATGTTTTCGAAGGACTATCTTCTCAATGCATACGTTGGCTCGACGTCGGAGGAAAGATGCGGGCAATTGATTTGCTGCGACTCTGAGCGAGAAGGTAACGTTCGCGCGTAAGCTAGGAGGCTTTTCGAATTCACAACTTAAGAGTTTCGGGCATCACAGAAGCACTCTTCGCGAAGTTCTGAGAAAGAAAACTTTTGAGATACCTCGATTCTGGAAGTTTACGAAGCTTCGAACTCCACTGACTCGGATGCATACGAGTTCTTGATCTGAAACCTCACTCCTTCTTTTCCAGGGCTTTGAGATTCAGCATGACGGGTACACCCAGCACCAGAAAGAGGAAGACTTCAAGGGAACGCGACGATTCACGCCAAATAGCATAAGGTCAGAACGACGACTCTGCCAAGACATGCACGCTTCAGAAGCACTGACGACCTTGACAGCCTACGCCCGTCTACTTGGCCTTACTGCATTCCGACTCCCCAACATTCAAAAGCGCTGGAATGCAATTTTTAGACAGCATTGCTCAGCTTTAGTCAACGCTGATGCCTGTGGGGTACTGTTAACCCAATCAGCATTCGATCCGTAACCCTTTTCTGGCAGGGTTGAGTACAAGTACAAATCCGGACGCGTCGACTTCTTCGTTCTTCACTTTGTCCCCATGAAACCCGGCTGGACTCGGGGCTTCCTCAAGGTCGTCCACAAGAATCCCCCGGCTATCATCAAGCTGGTGAACCGCCTCCCGGACTGGCTGCTGCACAGCAACGCGCTTGGGATTCCCGACCAGGACGTCCTCATTTTGCACAAACAGGCGAGTCCTCGTTTCACCCGCCTGGGGACGGCGACCGAAAGGCGTGGCTTACGGGAGCATCATCCGTTGTCTATCTTTATGCTTGGACTGGATGGGCGCACCTGGGTGCTGTTACGGATTCCCGACAAGTAGGGCCAGCTCCGAGGCAAGGGTTTGAGAAACTGTCATTGCTGGTGGGCATGCTGTGCATGAACAGACTTGATCAAAAAAGTGCATAAATGCGATTTTAAAAGCATCACAAATCCCAGAGTGTGTTTCAACTTCAATTCTTCCAGGGCGCTGCAAACTGTGGTTCCCTTCGCCTGTTGACCGCAAAAAACTTGAAGGGCCTTTTATGAAGCTATGGCGAGGTTTCATTAATCCGGCTGTTCCTTTTGTTCACAGGAGCGAAACTTGCGTACGTCTTACCGTAAAGGAACAAAGGCATACTTCTTACCGAACGAGTCCGACGGGTAAGCCGGCTTTGAAATACATGTGCGTGCTGCGCGCGTTGTTGCTGTCTGTTTCCCAGCTTAGCTTGCAGCTTTCGCGCGCTTTCAAACCATCGCAAAGCCATTTGAAATATCTGAGGAGGACATCAACGTTGATGAAGATCAAATGGTACTGTGCTTCGTACCTTTGAAAAAGGCTGCTTTCAGCATTTCCGCAGCCCCATTCTGGTTGATGGAATCTTCTTACCGCCCACCTTAATTCCCCCCATAGATAAACTGCCGCTGCGACTGTTTTGCTGATGCCGTCCTTCAAGAAGACCTTTCATTCGGTACTTCATTCGCACTTCATATCCATGTAAAGAAGTCGACCAACACCCTCGAATCGAAGTGCTTACGGACTCGGCCTTCATCAGTGCTGGAAAGGTCACGATTCGAAACCTGGCGCAACAATCATTTGCCGCTTGGCTTGGTTACAGGGGCGTGATTGCTTTTAGAACGTGGCTAAGTGAGAAGGCCGGAGGTGATGTGGGCTGGGGGAATGGGGCCACGTCGGCAGATGCTGGGCCTCAATTACCGAGAAGCCAGCTTCTCAATCGTTTCAACAGGCACGCCAAGGGATGCCACGTGTGCTTGCGAGTAGGTGCTGCCAGCTGACTGAGGGCTGACTCAAAAGAAACGCTTCCAATCACTCGTTTCGCGCTAAGGATGTAACGCTGAAGCAAAGAGGTCCCACCCAACCGAATTCCGTACTAGTAAGATCCTCGAAGAAAGAACGTAGCTCTTCTTTTGTTCGTCGACGACAGTCTGTCGTGGTGACCTTTTTCTTTGCACGAAACAAACAAAGCCTGCTTCGTACTCAGAAAGTGTTGCTGCTTTGACTCTTTTCCGAGTCAACCCCGCTCCAGTGCAAGTCAGACGCGAGCAAGGCCCCTTTTCTGGTTGATCAGTGCCTCAAGAATGGCACAAGGAAGAACCTGGTTCATTGCTCAATGAAGGCCTGCACAAAAGAGATTGATAGAAGAACTCAAAGCTCTGTTAACGCGTTCCGAGACTCTGAATCCCGTCCGAGACACTTACGTTATCGTTTAATGCGCCCAGTCGAGAAGTTGCTGAAGAAACGTTTTGTTTGCAGGCGATGGCGACCATAGACCGCATCCGTTCCGCGCTTACATTTGGAGCCGGTGTCCTTTTCTTGTTGGGCATTTATGTAGCCAGTCGCCGGGGAGCGTTGGCCAACTGGGTGCCTGCTTTCATTGGAGCCGCAGTCATGCTGGGCTTGAAAGAGCAGTTGCGCAGATTCAGGAGGACTTATGTGACGGGCTGCAACTCAGCAGAGGTCGACTACACGTAGAGACTCTGTGTTTGGAGAGGATGACCATCGTTCCTTAGGTTCCGCGTCGACCGAAAACTGCTGGGCTCACAAGCTTTGCATCTCCGATCCGCGTACAGCTTTGTACACTGCCTCTCTAGCAAAATTTTGTACCAGGTCTGTATTTCTCATGCCACGTGATCGATCGAAGGGTTCTCATTTGTCCGAAGGACCGGAGATGAGCGCTCAGACATTTCGGTCGACGCGAAACCTTATTAAATATGTCAAAGGGGACGCACTCGTCTCGCAGCCCGAAGCAGATTGGCATAGGCATGTTGATGAATTCGGCTTTTCTTATGCAGCCGACAGCAAAAGCTGGCTGCGTCAGCCAGCACTTTAGAAGGGATCTTAGAAGAAATGCGTTTGGCCTATTGACATGGTGACGCATTCACAGATCCACGCTCGTGCTCCGCAGCGGCTTGCACGGACTTTACTTCATCATTGGCGATTGGTATTGCTCATCGGCTTGATGATTGATGTCAAGTCGTCAGCCAGTAATTTGTTGCGAGTAAAGCAAAGAGAAAGTTCCGCCTTTTGTGTGGTCTGCTTATACACGCCTGGGATGCATTCAAAAAGCGTGAGACAATTCAAGCGCTGCCGTGAATCTTCCGTGAATCAAGAACCGATGCTGGGTAATCTGTGGCTAAAGTGAAGAGAAGCAGAGGGAAAATGACCTACACAATTGACGTGGACTAATCTGTCAGGTCTCGGCAACGTGAGACTCAAACCCTTCAACTTGGAGCCATGGCCGAAAGACAACTGCCGTATCCCCTTGTCAACGTTTGTTACGCTGCCCACCGCAAAGGGGCAAATAGTCGATCAGCGATCTATCCAAATCCTGCCAGCCATCTAGAGGTTAATCTAGTAGCTTAAGAGTCCCAAGCCTTGGAAAAGTGTGATAATCCGAAGCACCTTGAATCATGCGCGCGCACAGAAAGGTGAGCCGGGTCTTCCAACAGCAGCTCTTCTGATGTCTTTCGATCCCTTGTGCGGATGCTCCAACGTTTCCTTTGCCCTGTAATGCATTCCACAGGATGAGCACCCCTGCACTTTGGCCGGCGTCTGAGGCCTCCTTCCGTCCCTGGTATCAGGTGCTCCCCATCTAGTTGTCGCGTTCCCGTTCTCCCCACTAGCCGCCGCTCCCGAGCTTGTCATGCTTCTCGGTCCCAGATGAAGGCGCGCGGAACACGTGGCAAAGCTGTCCTGAGTCTTGCAGGGTTGATCATTTCCATGCCGGATTGCCAGGCCACTGGACAGTGCCGGATCTGCCAGAAAGACGCGTTACGCGTCCCTGGCATCAAGTCCTCCTGCGGCAGTCCTCTTGGCCCGTTGCTTGAAGTAATGGGGGAGCTGCAGGTCTCCTTTGTGGACTTTGCAGCGGCTTCCAAATCACCGCTTGAGACGCTTCCATCAGCTTCAACGATCGGCCACTTCGAACGGATTCTGGCACAGTAAACTCGACAGGCGGACGATTACCAGCCAGTTGATGTTGAGTGTTCGCTTGGGTGTGCCAAGCGCATCACGCAAGACTCCAAAGGTATCAGCTGACCAGCAGAATTTTGACAGAGGCAAGCGTAGAAGCGCAGCTGCTTGTTTGCCCCTTATTTCCTGCAGATTGTGAAGGGCCTCACTATTTTTTGATGCGCGTTGCAGGCAGCAGAGGTCGATCAGCTAGCTGTTGCGAGATATTTATTGGGAGGACGACTCAGAGGGGATCGGATAGCTGGCCCTTCCCCTCAGTGCCGGTGTTAGTCTCGTGTTAGAAGAGAACCAGCAAATCAGCGCCATGCATACGGTCTTCTTCCATACAAGGAACACCCGCCGCCTTTGACTCTGCGCCGGTCCGGCCCGCCTTGACAAAGGCGTCATAGTAATATGGTAGGCGCGTTAAAAATAGCGATGCCAGTCAGCGGTCACAGTCAACCGCAAATTGCAAAACCGCCAGTGTCGATCCGGTGGTCAAGGACTCAATCTGTCTGCATTGCAGTACTGACTCTTTGCTGTTGACAATGCAGCGCGCCGCAGAAACCAGCTCGTCTCCCTGCCCGGACGTTGCTATTATGCTGTTATGCAGGGGGCTGTCAAATCTCCGGTCATTGACATCTTCACATCAAAAAGTGGTGTCGCGAGCCCCTTTGACTCTTGAGCCCGGAACAAAATGTAGGCTCCATTAGAACAGCTGATCCGCTGAATACTACCGGTACCGAGGTCCTACCGACAGTACGTATAGTACTCCTTGACGACACCGGACAGAGTCAACGCCTGCAATCAGTGCAATGTGCAATGTGCATGCAGTACAGCGCCGCTATACCGTCGATCAGCTGCGTGTACTACCGTACGGTACGTACCTTAGTACGGACAGTACGGTCGCCGATGAATTTGAGGCCGAGAGCGGGCCGACAATCGTGTCAAATGATTGCCCGCGCGCCGATCCTCGGGATTGATTTTCCTCGGCGGATGGCTACGTGTACTCGGGGGTATCCTGACTGACTCCCGAGTACTATATGAGCCTTTCGCGGAACCTACATGCAGGTCCAGCTTGAACAGGGAGATTACCAACGCAACATCTTTGTCAGCTGCACGACAGTTTGACTACAGCAGCTATACTAACTAGTACTAGTAGCTCGTTCGGTAAAGATTCGGTTGGCCCAATGTCCACAGGATTGAGCTCTACTCCTGCGCCCTCGAGAAATCCGTCAGCCGCAGACATTAACTCCTGATCAGAATGGCAGCAGAGGAGTCCCCCTACGAAGGTACAACTATTGAGGCACACGCACAACTTTTGCTTCCGCTAGCGCTCCGTCAGCTAGCTGCCCACTCGCTGCCCACGTCGGTCTTGACGCCAATGCATGTATAAGATTCCTTTTGTCTGTGAGACCCGACTTCTCAATCTTCTTTTACTATTACAGCTGCAATCGGATGAAGTAGAAGTTGATGTGATGTTGATAGATGCTTAGTTCAGGCCGCTATCGTCGCGGAGATCTGCACACGCTTCGAAGATTGTGCAACGAATCAAATGAAGCTATTGACTTGCTGAGGTAGCAGGGCTCATTTTGGCAGCTCCGCTTGCATTTGCCAACCAACGAAATTCCCTGATCAATGGCAGTGAAACTACAACGCAGCACGTGAGCATTCTAGTATTTGGTGGAATTTCACCGTTCCTGCGGTTACGTGAGGTGCCGCAAAGCTAGTTTGAGATCCCACAACTTTCTGTATCAGTTTTTGGGAACCCCAACGTTCGCCAAAGTTGCAGTCAAGCATGGCGGGGAGCCTGAACAGACCGCCTGCAATGAAGCCTGCGCTGCCTGTCCGCCACATTTGCAAGCTCATGCAAGCTCAACGACCATGAACCTTGGGGCCCCAAGGTGCAACGTTCGCCTCACAATCGCAAGCCAGGCTTGTCCAACCCTTAGAAAGGAATACGCACAGCCAGGCTGGTTTGCTGGCAGCTTTGGCAAGCCCGCCTTGAGGCCGTTGTTGGCAGGGGTTCCAATATATCAAGATTACCAGCAGTCAGCTCGGCATCACGGTTGGTTCTGCGAGCTGGACTCAGAGATGGTGATCAGGTGAGGCGAAAGACTTGCTCAAATACCACCTAAGGTCCTCAACTGCGAAGCTTCAGCAATCGTGTGCGCAAAAACGAGCTGACAAACCCTGATGCCCGAAGTCACGAAAGGCAGCTGGTGAACGCAAGGCACTGGACACAGGAGCTTGACAATGTTCGTTTGTCTTGAATGCACAAAACAGAGTCCTCTTGACAAATTGGAAAACGGCTTGGCTTGTTTGAAACTTATAGAGAATGATTGAAGTATCTATTAAACAGCTTCGTGTTCAAAGTGTTACTTACTTATGCACCAAAAGGCATAGGTGTTGAGTATCCAGATCCAATTCTGCCCAAATTGTCCAGGCCTTCCAAGAACTTCAGTGGTTGACAAGAGTCGTCTCTTCTACTTCGGTGCTGGCAATCAGATGTCTCAGAATAATACGTCTCAGTATCTAGACTTGACAACTTGCCATTGAACCAACTCAGGATGACCCATCTTGAACAGTAGGTTTCATAAGCGAACGACCCACTCTACTCAATTCAGCAGCACCATCTCCTAAATTCTGCTGCCCAATTGACGGAAGGTTGCACAGCTGCCAACTAAGTGGTGCATTGGGGCTCACATTTTGCAGAACCTGTTCCTCGATCTCAATTCCGGGACCTTCTCACCAGGAACGAACTTCCCACAAAACGGATTGGGGTTTGTTTTTGCAGAAAGTGGGCGCACCTATTCACCCTCGTACGCTTCATCCTATAAGCACCACAACTTCCGAAGCTGCCCCAACGAGCTTCGTTCAGAGTGGCTCTCACGAACAAAGGTGGATCTCGCGCAATTCTTCTCTTACCACGTCATTGTTGATGGCTCTGGGGCTCATTGAATCGACTTGCGTGTCCGAATGCTCAGCTGCGGAATGGGTTAGAGCACCAGCATAGATCGAGCTTCTTGGGACCTGCCTTATGAGGTAACAGCTAGTGTCATCGCTCTATCCTGGGTCTGCTGCTATGTGTCGGGGCCAGAATGTCAACTCGAAAACGAACTTTAGAGGAGCAAGAGAATGGTCAATGAACACGTTTGAACTTCTGTCCGTCACTAACGACCGCGAGAAATAATCAGCGCGATCCCCCTGTTTGTCCATGGTTCTAGCCAGAACGGGCGAGACGTCTTTCCACAGTCGCATGAGGCTCCACGAGAACTGAGCTGCAACCTTTGCTGCTCGACCTCCACACAACGAGGCAAATCACCTGGTGTTCTCATCCTGGCTAAGTATTCCGCAGGGGAGGAGCTGAGCCGGAGTTCCGTTCCGCGCTCGGAGACTGGTTCACCAGAAACTTCATGTACTCCGGAGTCTTACACGCCGTCGTCTACGTGGCACTTTTATGCACCTACGCGAACGGGGCCGGCGTCGCTCTCCACCCCGCCGCTCTAGTTTACGGCCTCCTCGGGTCCCACGTGATCTACAACTACGACAGGATCATGGGCTGCCAGAGCGAGGACGACCGGTTGGACGCCCCGGGCCGCACGGCGTGGACCCAACGTCATTTGCAGACACTGAAAACGGTCGCCTTTTTCGAAGTCGTCGCAAACGCGGCGCTTGCATTCCTTCACCCGCGTTTACGCTACTCGCTGGCTATGATTCTTCTCTCCTTTCTATACACCCAAAAGTTCATTCCGGGAAACGTGTCCCCGAAGCAACTCCCGGGCTGAAGGCCTTCTACACGGCCTTCACTTGCACCTCCAGCGTCGCGTTTCTCGCCAACTGTCTCGCGCACAACTCAACCGGGTCGAATCCCCGGGTCCCCGGTCCCTGGATACTCGCATCGCTCTTCTTCCTGATTTCCGCTATGGTAAATTGGAACGATCTTCGAGACGAGGCGGGGGATCGACTGGTCGGAACCTTGTCGCTGCCCGTTCTGGTGGGCGGTGAGGAAGCACGGTTGATATCGGCGGGTCTCTTCTGGATCTCGAGCGTCAGCGCAGCGGCAGGGGGTAGCTGGGTTCTGGCTCCGTTTGCGCTGATGAACGCTGTCCTAGCTGCGACGCTAAGCCAGGGGTCAAAGTTCGAAGTGATACCTCGGCTCTGATTGGACTTGTGCTCGGACAGACTTCTGCTGGCAAAAGAGAGTATCATACTTTCCGGTGTGGTTTAGTGCTTGTATAGTAGTACGGACGTGTGGTCCCCCGAGCCTGCACCAAAAAGCAGCGGCTTGTACTACTGTGGTCGTTTGGCTCATGCACGGTTTGCCGATTTCAGTGCTCAAAGCTTAGCACCTGAACAGCATGCTCGACGGTGCTCAGACTTGTCTTCTCTTCCGCTTTCGTAAGTTCGTAGTTATACCGTAACATAAGTGCTGCACCTGTCGACCTCCTCGCGACTCTATGGGGCCTGGACAGCCGCCCGATTCGGCTGTTGTCAAAGAACTGGCCGTTGCATAGCAGTGGTGGACAGCGTCAATCTCACATGCCATGCAGGCAGCACTTGTCATGCCAAACACAATGATTCGATCAATTCTACATACATCTACGTCGTCTTAGTATATAGATTTGGATGTATCATATTAACGTCGCGGTTCGGAGCCGTGATCGGCTTATCCTAAAGTATAGGAAAAGCGCTATATGCCACAAATGGCATGCATGGTTAACATGAATCTGCCATAATGTGAGCCGGGCGCCGTGTATGTCACCATACCATCGTGTGCGTCCAAACCTTGCTTAGCCTTTGAACTTAAACCTCAGTATATGTAGCGCGCGCCGTCGGTTTGTAGTCAAGTACTTACATGTCTGCTAAGCTCATCTACTACAGCCATTGCTTCTAAGGGTAGTAGCTACCGCATACTACAAACCGTCAGTCACTAGATGATTATATGCAGGTTCTCAAATTGCCTAAACGAACAGTTCCACGGTTGATCTCATTAAATTCCCCTTCCAACCACTCGCTGGTTGTGTCCCTCAGCTTACCACCAGCCTCAAAGTTACAACCAAAGCAATCCCTCGATTCAAGAACTCTCAACACGAAAGAAGCCGTTTTCGAGGATGGTTACCATGCGCTCAAGCTAACTTCACCTTATCTTTGTCTGTTTTTCCAATCACAAACGACCTAGCTACTGCAAGCGAGCGACCCGGATTTGTAAATACGGTTTTATCTGATTCACTGTTCGATCTTGCGCGCGAGATACTTCAACCTCAATAATATAGGTTTGCTTCGAGTCATTGAGCTGGGCTCATCACCCTCCAATCAGGATGGACCATACAGTGTCTGTGGCAACGTAGTGAACGCACTTTATGCTAAGCGTGTTCCTCCAAGACACACCAGACAACAAGCATTTCTCTGGTCTTTGTTGACATCTGGTTCAAAGCATCAAGACCTGTGCAGCACTACCAGTTGGAAAGTCCTCTACCCTCTAGACTCGCATCCTGATTAAGCAAATCGCCTGAAGTTAGCAATGTTTACAGCGGACGCCGTCCATAACCTCCGGGCCCTTCAGCACCTGGCCAGTAGCCCTGGCTCCTGTAGTATGCTTCAGGACCATACCTGCACCGCAACACCCGTACACAATTGCTGAACAAGGATGTCAAGACTGTTGTGGATTGTGTACAACTCTCAGCGGGATCCTCAGCTAGAGATGAGCTAAAGCACCATGTATCCCTCCCAAACCATGACCGACATACGACAGAAGCTCCGTCACGACCCCAGCAGTCCCAAACCCAACAAAATCTGGTAGCGGCTGGTATACCCTTAGCAAATGGGCTTTTTAGGACACCCACTGCATGCTCAAATTTTTCGGGCTTCCTGAGAGCGTTCTTCCTCCACATGTAGTATCTCAAAGGAGCTCTACACTGAGGCTGCCAAATCTTGCACAAATTCTGTCCACACAAAGCAGGTCTGCTGAGCTTACAATTCCTTCGGAGCAGCGATCGGCGGTCGCCCATACTCCCCCGGGTACGCTCCTTCAACGGGGTAACCTCCCGCTGCTCCCGTCATTCTGGCGACATAATCTTCATATGACTGCGGGGGGCCAGAACACGTCAGCTTGTGCATCGCCTTAACAGCCAATCAATAACAAAGCACCCCAACCTTCAAAAATCGAGCACTTCCTACGGCCAGAGTAAGCAAAAGAATGCTTATAGAGACGGGGGCAGTAACAGCAAATCTAAAAGCACAGGCGCTGATTAACATGTCAAAAAAAGCGGGATGTGTCAGAAAGTGCCCGCATGAAATCCCTTCTCGATAGTCCTCTGCTAGGGACCCCACGCCCGGCGCTCCTCACCATGTTCAGAAGCTCCTCGGGCGGCGGCGACACCTTCTTGGAGCGGCTTTTGGGCGGGGGGCTCTCCGAGCGCCGCTTGCTCTTCTTCCGCTTCTCCTTCTTCGGCGAGCGCGACCGCCGGCTACTGTGGGGGGACGGCGACCGGCGCTTCCTTGCCGAGGGGGACTTTTTCCTGGGCCGCTCTTCCTCCGAGTACCCCCCCGCCGGCGAACGAGACCGCGATCGGCCCCTGGCAGGGGGAGACCTCGACGGCCGTCGCCGCACGTATCCTTCCCGAAATCCTGGCAACTCCGCCCCGAACCCAGGCCCCCCGGGCAGACCCTCTCGGTAAGGGGGACCCCCCCAAGACGGAAACGGCCCCTCGCCATACCCGTTACCCGCAAACGGCGGCCCCTCTTCGAATGGTGCACGGAATGGTGGCCGGAACCCTGGTCCGTCGACGAAAGGGGGCCCCTCCGCAAACGGCGGAGCTCTCCCGAAAGGGAAGGGTCCCATCGGGCCCTCCATGAAGGGCCCGTCCCGATACCCCCGGGGTGCAAACCCCGGTCTAAAACCTGGGCCGTCTCGGAACGCGGGTCCGAAACCTGGACGCGGGCCTGGCCCGTCCACAAACGGGGGGCGCCCGAAGCCTCGTCCTGAGGGGCGAGGCGGACCCCCCCTGCCGAAGCCTCGGCCGGAAAGGGGGCCGGGGATGGGGGCATCGAAGGGAGGCTCTTCGTCCGGCAGTCCGACGTCCTTGGTTTTGTACTCCCCAGCAACGATGGGCCTGGAGGAGAAGGATGAGCACTGTAGGGGAGGCTTGCATTGGTGCTACAGCTTGCGATGAATGGACTGCATGTAGCGGGTCTCCCAAATATGAAGTTTTGTGGAATGAAGAAAGGAGAGGAAGTTGATCACTTTCGACCACAAATATTCAGGAGTGAAGCAACCCGTTTCTGAGCCAGCGGTGTTCTGCTTCTCTACTGTTGCGGGCAGGTAAGCGGATGTCCGTGTGCTCAAGGGAGTACTGACTGACGGGTCACATTTCCGAACCAACTTGTTGGAGACGATTGATTGCCCAGGAACAAATTCAGAAGAGAAAAAGGAAGAGAATCGGAGACACCGATGAAGCAGAGTCCTGTTGCATCTCACTGCTGCAACCATAGTTGAAGTGCTGGGAAGAACTGTACTACCAGGCTCTTCCATTCACAACCCCCTCTCCCCTGGCTGTAAGCGTAACCCGACTCAAATGCGCCCTTGGTCTCGCAATCGGAAAGTTCTCGGAGGAATCTCGATGACCCCCTCCGATCCTCACCTTCCATCGACGAAGCATCCCTTTCTTGGAAACAAGACCTACACCAGCCCTTACCCCTTGCTTCACTCATCAGTACTGTTACCCCTCCTTTTCATACTTCCTCCAACCTTTTCCCCCCTTCGAACCACAGACGCACAACAAACCTAAGCCCTCACCTTTTGCCCCCCCGCCCCTCGCTCTCCGCCCCCTCGTCCATCAGCGCACAGACAACCTCCCCAATCTCCGGCGGCAATTCCTGCCCGTCCCGGCTGATTTTAATCGGCTTCATCTCGTTCAGGGGGTTGCGCAGGTGCAGCGTCTTGCTGAACGCGAGATCGTAGAGCTGCAGCCACTCCACTGCGAAGTCCCCCCCCCAGGGCCCTCCCCCGCCCTCGTTCTCGCTCCACTGGCCCGATCGACTACGTCCGATGGGGGAGGCCATGCGCGCGTAGCCCTGGAAGTGCCCGCTCTGGTTGACACTGAACACGAGGATGACCGATTCTGCAGTCTGCAGCAAAATGTGGGGAATGTTTGAGGTAAGAGGACGGGGAGGTAAGAGGACGGGGCGGGTGAAGAGCAAAAGACCCCTTTCGCAGCGAGGGTGGTATGGGCTTGCCATTCCAGTCTGTCGCTTCAGGGCAAGACAAGCTTAGATCAGGTTTCAGGCAGGTGACAGGAAGCTGAAGGAAGTTGGGACCAGCCAACAAGCTTTCGCAACTCGTTAAAGGAAATCCCGCCTTCAGAATGCTGAGGAACGAAGGACCCTTGACAAGAATTCTCGTACAGAGAAGAAACTTCTGACATGAATTAGGATGATGCCCGCCGTGCTTTCTTGAAGTGAGGTCTCTAATGCCTGCCACTATGCCCCTAGCAATAAGAAGACAGTCCTGCATCAAGAAGCGCAAGGTGAAGACTGGAATCATACAATTAAAGAAATGTAAAGAGCCTACCTCAAACGCTTGGTTGAGCTTTGCCTCGTTGATTGCCTGCGTGGCCCAGACCCCTTTCTCGATGGACGTTGCAATATTTCGGTGCGAGACGCTCTTGATGATGAAGTACCGGATGCCTCGCTTTGGAAGTTTGTTATACGACGGCCGCTGCGGCCCTGGCCAGTGCTGAAACCGCGCGTCACCATTCCGGTCCGGCCTTGTTGAGTCTGCGAGGCGCGAAAGGCAGTACTTAGCACAGGCTTAATGAGGGTGTTCCTTTTCCAGAAGCTTTTATGTGTCCCTAACTTCTCTGGATTTAAGAATAGCACAAACGGACCTCCAAGGGGTGAAAGTGAAGTCCTCGCAGCAGGCAGTAACGAGCAGGAACTCATTTAGCACTAGCAATCCAGGGACGAAAGCTCTCCACAGCTATGAGGGAGCGTTTTGATAAGCTTGGAAGGAAAGATGGGAAAAGGAGACTGCAGCAGAGACCGTGCATCAGCGTACTACATAACAGACCCAAGCAGTAAGGTTTTTGATACATAGTTGCTAAGTACAAGTCAACGAGTATGATAAGATACTGTCAGACGTACCAGATCAAAAAACCTGCACCTGAGAGAATTAATCACAGAGAACTCCCTCCAACAAGATACATGCAGCTCTACTAGAAAGCAGAAAGGAGGAGGGTTCAGCAATGCTTCATCAGTGAGCATCAGACTGGCAAAAGGTTTGACCAACAGAGAACAGACAAAAGGACACGGTACTCACATGTCTCCCGCAGAGGCTTGACATCCACCGACCTCGTCTCATGGACTCGAGGAGGGGCCCTGGCCTCTTTCTTTGGAGCCTCTTCCTTGCGACCTCCATTTTCAACCTAATCACAGCGAAATGTTTGCTTTCTTAGGGGCGAGAAACCAGCAACGGGTAAGCAAAGAAGCCCTTTCAAGAGTCCAGCGAGAGTATATAGAGATCAGCATATTCCTTCATCAACTAAGCAGACAAAGACACTGCGCCGTCAACGTTCATTCTTAGGGTTGGTTTGGAACGACAGGAGCACAAGATGCTGTAACAAGCGAGGCGATTCATAGCCAAGGCTATGAATTAGGACTCCTGGTAAAAAAGCAAGAAGCTCTGTAGGGAATGTGCATAGCAGGAAAACAAACCTGCTCCTTGGGCTCCTCCGAGGCCCGTGTCGTCGCAGGTCCGCCGTTTGTAGGCTCTGGATCACTTCAAAGTTCGGCAAGCAAGCATTGTTAACATGATGGAAGCCTCGACGCGTAGCAATATCTATATGCACTTGCCAAAATCTACTGCGTTGCTTGTTCCACAGCTGCAGCCAAACAATCTCGACACGCCTACTCGGTCAAGTTTTTTAAGACAAAGCAATCGTTAACTGCTCGACTGTTCGACTGTTCGGCCAGAAGATAATCCGTCTGATTGTTCTCAATGAGCTGGGTGATAAATCAACTCTTTGAATCTCGCGCAGATTCTGTATGACACACTTTCTCAGCTCCCTGCTTACCCTGCTCTGACAAGCACTTGATATTATTTACAATACAGTACAGGAAGTTCTAGAGCTTTACCAAGTGCACGAGATCGATATAAATAAAAGCAGTTCTATATCAAGCAACTCAATCCTGCGCAAGCAGAGCAAAATAAGAACGTTCAATGCAACCTCTGTCCCTTGACAATTTGTAGACGGCTCTGCACAGAGCCAGAAGAGCTTCCGATTCTACCATTTCTACCATGTACTTTTGCCCCTTACACCTGCGACCAGAATGAAAGAGCCGCCTAGCTTGCGCTCGACAAGGGGCCTGCAACTTACGGCAATCTGTCTGCCTCCTCAATCTCATCATTCAAGTCGTCATACAAATCCTCCTCGTCAAGATCATGAAAGTCGTCGTCCTCTGCCATGAGATCGTCTAGGACGCTCCTACTGTAGCTGCTCGACCGCTGCCGCGCATACTCTGGTGACGTGCCGTCCTCGGCATTTCTGTCTTCGTCTGCCATGGTCAGACGCACTGTGATAAGCAGCCTGCAGTAGATAAGAAACTCCTCGATCTCTTGCTCACCAGTCCCACTGACCGGCAGCCTGCAAGCTGACTGGCAGTCTGCAAGTAAAGCTGCAATGATCTGTTCTGCTAGTACTCTCACACCCTGCCTTCACACCCTGCAGATTGCAGTAGGAAAAAGGCCCCCTCTAATACGACCATATCCTATCTTACAAGAACTCGATTGCATCAACAACCACATATACGGTTATTGTGCTATGTGTTGATACAAGAGAGATGGCAAAACAGACACTGAGACAGAGAGCATTCAAGAACAAAGAGCCGGCAAAAAATGTTGAAAAGAGTGGACTGCTTAGCATTCAAAGTGGGTGTAGCCTCTGACCAACAATACCATCTCCTGCACTTCATGTAGCACGTGTGGTTGTGATTGGACACTTGCTTGGAGAGCAAGCAACAGAGGGACTGCACGATTGATTAGAACAGCCATGCTGACCAAGAATATTATTTGGGGATTCGGGGATTCGGAAATTCTGACTTTGCCAACTTTGTTTGCAATGCTCAGACACAATGCCTCTGGTAAAAGCATGGATCCTGACGCATTTTGCAGTGAGGACTCTGAGTAAAGCAGCAAAGGGGAGCCTGGCTGCTTAGGCAAAACCGTCCTCAACCCTTTGAAGCTGTCCTGCAGAGAGAAACTTCCGACACACCCTCACCTAGGGCTACTCCAAGTACCTGGTCATCGAATGGACATATTTTGACATACATAAACCATAGTAAAAAGCAGAAATGCTGAGCTGCTTTGTTGACCCAAAAGAGGTGCGTTCAACCCCGACGCATCTTTGTTGCATCTTGTATCTTGTCTACCCACTTCCTCCGTATAGAGCAGACTATAACAAAGAGTAGCCTTCAGCCTCAGGAAGCTGCAGTGCATTCAAACCATGTCGCTCTGCAGCAATGAATCACAGAGAGAAAATAACATCTGCAAACCCACCTGCTTCTGCGCCGGTCCTTGCACCTGCCCAGGCTGCGAGCACCTGGTTTTCCCACTTGCTAGAGGCCAGTCCTCAGCCCTTCTTTGCAAGCAGGCATGATGGTCAGGCGCCCTAGCACGTCGTCACACCATTGCCGTCTCCCTAGCTGAACCCTGGATCCAGCAATGGCAATGGCATACAGTGCACTGTGCAGGGCTGAACTTCCTGTGTAGGGAAGTTCCGGCGGCGATCCGGCCGATTGTGTAGGATGCCGGTATACGGAATGAGTGGAATCAAACCTTCAAACCCTGCATGCGCTTTCTTTGCGGAAGCCTGGGTCGGGCGGCCCCCTCGCGCGGCCGCGCGAGTTGAGGTACGGTATGGGCCGATCATCAGCCTGAGACTCCTGAGTCCTGAGTGCTTCACTTTAAAATCACTGTTTACTTCCAGTTCCACTCAAACCACAATCATGCACTGCAGTCTGCATGATGCAGGGATTAGCATTAAATCCTGTGCAGTGAAGGTCCAAAACTAAAGCTCAAGCAATGTGATCCTTTTCTCACCAACAACTGCGCTATCCAGTGTCTGCTTTCCGGTGGATATCATCCAGGGACTTGGACTGCATTCAACCGCTCACGAACACTGGCCATGGGTAAGAGCGTCTATCAATCGCATAACATTAGATCACTTTGAGTAAAGCACATAGCATGTCACCAGGATAGCAATGCCAAGCTGGTCAGAACCCAGGAATGTAACGGCATTCCCTGCTTTCGGCAGGGGCAGCAATAAGCTTCCTGCCGCTGTCTGTCTTTTCCTTCTTTTGCTGGGACTCGTTTTCACCATGCATTTGCAGTCCCCTGGGCCACGAGATTCCGAGAAGCAGACCTTAATTCAGCTCCCAGCAGCTTTTCAAAGAGCAAAAAGTTCACTTGATGCCAGAGAGGAGATTCTGGCCAAAGTGGAACCGGAGTTCAGGCAGCAGTGTAAAGAGATATTTCTTGGAGTTCCCAAGATGTTCTCTCAGGCCTATCAAGATTGGATATTATACCACAATTTCTTCCGTGACTACGCCTATGGGGAAGGATCCTTCATTGACATCGGCTCCAACAACCCTTTCTTCATATCCAACACCCTGTTCTTTGAGAAGTGCCTGGGTTGGAAGGGTCTGTGCATAGAACCACAGGCAGAATACCACCCGCTGTACGGAGAGAGAAGTTGCACACTGGTTCCAAACTGTTTGAATCAGGAAGAAGTGGACATGGGCTTCGTCTTTGATGGGGTGGATGGAAGGGTGGTACCGCAGGACGACCCTGCTTCCAACGGCACTGTTCACTGCAAACCTCTCCAGGACATTCTGACGGAACATGGGGTGACGAAAGTGGACTTCATGTCCATCGACACAGAAGGTGCTGAAGTGGAGATTCTGCGGTAATCAAAGCTGCCTGTTTGATCTAGATGATAATTTTGTAAAGTCAAGCATTGATCGCTGCGTGCTTCTTTCTGCTGAACTCAACCGAGCTTGCAACAAGTTCTGACCTCAGTGCAATTCTCTTGCTATAGACAGACTGTTCTTAAATAACCCCTCCCAACGCCTTCACTGGTCATTCAAACGAGATCCAAGTAGACAGGCCGACGATAGCGCTTCGATGTGAAGTTGTTGCACTACAACATGCGCTGTTCTGGCCATAAATGAAAGCGTAGAGGTTACAAGCAAATCACTTGACACATGCTAACAGTGGCAATGCAATTGCAGGTGCTTCCCATTTAGCGAATGGAAAATCAAGGCACTCATAGTCGAGACCAATAAGCAGGACAAGTACCTGGACTTTCTCCTTTTGAGAGCAGGGTGAGCCTAAAAATCTTCTCTGACGTCAGCATGACTTGGCGGCTGACTAGGCTGATACCTGATTGTCGTGATGTCATACCAATTGTGGCTTCTGTCCTAGGCAGGGAGCTGATGCAATGCATATTAATGCTGTGATAGATGGTGTCACCCGTCCAAGAGGACATGAGAGGAAACGAGCAGAGTACCTATAGATGAGCTGTGTATGACTGTGTCATTATTCCGCAGTATTGACTTTTTTATCCTCGATGCCACGTCCTTGCAGCTACATGAAGGTCATGGAGCTGCTCTGCCCCACTTTTGAACAACGGAATGTTGGAACGTAAGTATCTTCCCAAGCTAGTCATTAAAATCTTTGCTCGAATGGCAGGTGACTTTTCGTACATGTTTGTTCTTCAGACACAGCATCCCTGCTGTACACCACTCCTGTAAACGACATCCGTTCGTTATGCTTTTTAAAAAGAAACAACCGACCCACTCGTTCACGCATATGGAATTCCAGCTGGCAGGATTAAAATTGCAAGTCAATCATGTTAAAATCGGGCGAGACAAGCTTCGAAAGTTTCTCCTTACAACCGTCCTGCTCGCTTTGCAGCTATCTCGATTCGCTCTTCGTATGGAACGATAACCCTTTGGTGCTGCCCAATAAGGACCAAGAATTCAGTTGCACGGATGAAGACATGAAGTGGAACGGTTGCTACAGCCGCACAGGTTGGTCGAGCTATTACAGAGAAGAGATAGGACAACGAGAGCAAGTCAAAGATGCGTGCCCAAACGAAGGTGTTGCACTCTCCGCCCGGCCCGGATTGTCGGGTCGTGAAGTTTTGTACAATTAGTTAGCTGGCTCCATCAAAGATGCGTTTGATAGCTATGATGCTACATTTGCGGAACGGGTTGACCTTAAGTTAGAGCGGCAGGCTCAGCAGAGTCGGGCGCCCCAACATATAATTTGACTTCTTCTGCATGGATTGGGCAGAGATATCATCGATGACTTCTCCTAATGACTTTCAATCCTTTACATTGTTTGATTTAAACGGCAAGACTGCCGGCCAGGTAACTTGAAGGTTAGGATTAGAGGATGAATTGACTCCGATAACTATCGTGTGACCTAAGAGCCGTGTGACCTAAGATAGGCACCCGGGGGACGGGTGGGGTTGTTATGGTGGTTAGGGTGGGTTAGGGTGCGGAGCGGGTGATTAATTGGGTTAGGTTTTTAGTTTGGGGTGCCCGGGTTACTCGTATCTTAGGTCACACGCCCGTTAGGTCACACGAGAGTTACCGGTATGATGAATTGTAGTTCAGCATACTTATTCATGCAACAATTTTGAGTGAATCTGCTCGGACTCATGACGTTGAACCTTGAGCACCATTACTGAATCATATGATCCGACATAGGCTAAACAATGAATTTCGAGGAATACGGGCTGTCGCACTGCAGCACGTTTGCTAAGAAGATCCGGATCCACAATCGGTCATGCAAGCAATGTAGAAACTTGCGAGCTTTAAACGAGAACTCAAGTTTGTACGGTAGTTTGCCGTGCCCGCATCTCAATCTGCATAAACTTATGCTGAAGCTCGTCTCAGGCCAATGTCTTTTCTCAATTGAAGCCACATGCACATGCATAGAGGATCTCTCTGCCGCTCCGACTGTTTGCATGTGCCGGCGCTGCTTACATACTGTGAGTTGGGCCTCTGATTGTGCAGCTCACAAATTAAGTCGTGCTCCGGTCGTGCTCATGTAACATGGCGGCCGAGCGCACAATACAACAGTCAGTGATTCTTGAATAATGGGCCATGTCGATGTTCCAATGTTGGCGCGGCAAGCCATTGTTGCATGCAGTTCGTCAAGGCTACTGTAGGTGATAGACAAACTTAGGCCGGCTGGTTGTTTGCCGAGTTAATCACATCAGCTGGCCTGTTACCCTACAAGGGCATGCCTTAATGAATGACGAATGATAATGTTCATGGCACTCGAAACCTGAGATAATGCTAAGATCAGCTTAGAAATTTGGAACGGTCCGACATCCGCATTCGAGCCGCGAAGTGCATGATGGGAAGCAGCTTTCATGTCTTGACCAGTAAAGAGCTAAAAGGGTAGTCACTGATCGAGCAATTTTAGCTCCTCATTGCGGCAACGTTGCGCAACGTTTCGAGGCGTTGCTGCAACACTAGGCGTTGGCAAGTGTAAGGAATCAACGCTTAGAACGTTGCGAGAACTGGTTAAAGCTAAACCGAGCTTAAACCCTCGTCTCTGCAACGGTCATACAACGTTGTAGGATTGTTGCGAGACGTTGCATCTCTGTTGCAGCAACGAGGGTTTAGCTTCGGTTTACTACTTTAACCAGTTCTTGCAACGTTTTAGGCGTTGATTCCTTACACTTGCCAACGCCTAGTGCTGCAGCAACGCCTTGAAACGTTGCGCAACATTGCGCAACGACGTGCAACGTTGCTGCAACGAGCGGCTAAAATTCCGATTGGCACATGCGATTCATCAGCATGCCATGTCTCGCCAGATCCTTATTTCTATCATTTGCAGCTCGGTTCATATGATACGCCACGCCTGCCGGTCATTGAGTGTGCCCCCTTCATGCAAATGTGCAATCACGACTCCTAAGTTGGGTTCCCTTCGAGTGCATCTATGTTTCCGCAACTTCACAGCAACAAAAGCGACGCCAGCCGCCAAAACATACAGCAAACTCTTTCAACTTTCAACAGCGGGGACAGCTAAATTGACATGGTGCTGAGAAAGGTGGCGCTTACATGAGCAAGCGTTTTCGCAGCAGCATGTCTTGGCTGGCCCTCCAAAGATTCTAGTCCATCCAAAGGCGAGTTTGCCCCTACATCAAATCCAGATTCTGCAACGCATTCTCACAAGCGCAAAGCTTTCATCAAGGACGTGCTCCAGATTCTTACGCGTCGCTCTTTTTCCTGCTCGCCGGTTACACTGTAAGGAGGCTCGACCACCACAGCGCACCTCTCTGATGCCCTTTGAACGCCCCAGAAATATAGCGAAGGTCTTTTCCGGTCCGCTGCCACACGCCCCCGGAAAGCCCCAAGACGAGCGGCTCGCCGTCAACGAAGTGCAGCCTGCCGTAGTAGTCGTCGTCCAGAGACCGTTTCATGGCAGAGTACTCGTTGTCCAGCGCAGATATTGGGTCAGCTTCTTCCCCTGAGCACGTCGTCTCGAGGGTTGGTACGAGCTTGAAGGTGCTAACGAGAATCTCATCGTCGCTGCCTCGAGAGCGGCCGTAAGAGTCCCGCTCACGTCTCCACCCGTCGAGGCTCACTTCGTCGACACCGTTGTTTGCTGCAACAGCCATCGACCTTGCTTCGAGAAAAGGCTCCTTTGTAGGGGTGAGTTTGAAGCTCTTCCACTGCTGCTTTTCTATCTCGTCGATCTTCAAAGACAGGACCACCGAATCGTGTCTCCGCGCGCATATGTATAGGGACTCGTCGCTTATGGCCGTGCAGACCATATTTCCGGGATTGGAGCCGCCGAGTCTCACAGAAACGGACTGGTACCGGTGCCTTGGCAGCGGAATGTCCTGCCATTATGCCAGTCAGGGTGTCGTAGAGCTTTCCCTGTGCAACTGCGGGTTTAGAGTCGTACGTTGCAAAACTGTTTTTGCAAAATCTACTTAGCGGCTTATGCAGTACAAAGGTGTATCGGTTAGACGCAACCACCGTGAGGCTTGTCTGGTTCGTGTGATGTCGCCGTCCAACATAGCATTCTGTGTAATATGAGAGAGGCGCTCTTAGTTCATTCTGAAAGACCAGAGCGGTTTGCTCGTGCCAGCCTTCGACTGTTGCCAGATCGAAAGACCGCAACCGCAGTTTGGCCACCTTTGAGTGCGGTGTATCTGAACTGCGCTTCGGCTCGCTGAGGACGTACACTGTATTCTTCACGACCACCACGCTCTCTGGAATATCAATCCAGTGCTCCGCCTCTTCCAAACTGCGCCCCCCTCCATAAGCACCCGCCATAAGCGGGTGCAGGTAAAGCTCATTTCCAGTCTCGCCAAGGATTGCCAAGCCAGGATACGGTTAATCTTCCTGGTCGTTGACCAGCCTGCATGCAAATCTGGTCAATCCAGCCTTGTGAAAGCGCCCCGGATTCCCTAGGAGCCCTTCCTCCACGTCCGCACCCTTCCAGGCTTTGGAAACGCGCCTCAGCCGTCCGAGCTCCTCAAAATCTAGATCAAAGGCTAACAAGAAGCGGCAAATGTACAGATTGACGTCCGTGGGAAGCTGCTCAAACAAGGCCATGGCATTTCACTCTGCTTGCTGATACCGATAGTCCTTTCAGTTTTGGGGTACTACGTTCAGGAGTTTGTTCAAACAGAGTCAGGTGCATCCTTTTGCTTGTTCAGAAAAGCTCAAGGCTTAGTAGACTTTCTATGCTCCCAGGAAGAGGCCGTATCAGCGGCCAAGCGTGCCTGTGAAGGTTTGGTGTCGATGTACCTATTGTAGTCAGCAGGTGCAAACAGTCAAACGCGCGCGGCGCGGCCTGCAGGCGGCGGCCCGGGCGGCCGCCCGGGGCCTCCTTGCGATTCGAAGGGTTTTGCGCACTTTGACGTCGATGAAGATCCATTCAAACCGTCTGATGTGAGTGTAGCTTTTCCCATCCGACGGTTCAGGACCGTCATGCTGGATTTGCTGTACATTAATGTGCATGGGTAGCAGCCGGAGCAGAATGATCATTGACTCACAAATATGCGGTTCCTAATTTTCGCTCGTTCTCAGTGCATGAAAACACGTTGAGCACAGGCTTCGCTTTGCATTATATACCTAGTTTTGGCGCGGGATCGAATTGCACGCATGTACAGGATGATTGTCGACTAGCTCCATATTCCGGCTATAGCTAATATAGAAGCTTCAGGAATAATGACCGTCTAGCTATACAATTGGCCGTCGGTGGCGGCCCATCAAATGCCCGCACGCAATTGAGGATGGCCCCGGAGGGCGCAGCACCACGAGGAGTACGTCTGTTCGCGATGATCTGTTGAAAGTGTTGTGCACGCGCGAAACTTGCCAGCGATTTTAGGTAGGTCTGTGATTGGACCCGATCTGGCATGGCATACACGTGGTACTTGACTTATCAAGTACACAGATAATTAAGTGTCGGGCTAGCTTCACTTGTCTGTGTGAGGATTCCTTCGTCACTTCGAGTCGCTTTAGAAGGCGCCCAATTGCATATGTAGCTACCGTGGCAGTGAGGATATGGGCCAATTTGGACGCAACACTGCTGGTCGGAATGCGAATCCAAAGCACGAGCTACACTCACAATCACGCAAAAGTGGCCCTGGTGAAAGTGACAAGTAGAACCTCCTCGACCACAACCCGTTCATTGCACTGACGTACGCCAGAGTCGTCAAGCAGTGCTCAGGCGCTCCGTTATTCGCATGATCGTTGTCGAACCAAGTGATAACGTCAAGTTTTGCGTATTGTTCAATGTACATAAGCCTACTGGGTTGGCTAGACCACGTTCGTCAAAGATACTCGCAGAAAAGCGTCGTACTACTCCTCTCAATCATGGGTCGTCAACCGTTTTGTGAGGACTCGCGAGCATCTGCAATGAGAAAAAGCCCTGGATCAGATACAAGACCGATATTTTGAAACCGAGGTAGCGGAACCTATACGTTGACTTTCAGAGATGTCGGATACAGCACAACCATTCAAACCGAAACCACCAGTTTCTTGTCAGGAAAAGCAAAACCCCTTTCAGTTCCAAGAACTTATCAGTTCCAGCAAAGAAACAGATACTCTTTCGGCACATTGCAGGAGCTTGACTTGCTGTGCGCAAAACTTCAATAGCACCTACACGACAAGCATGATAGCGCGTGCATTAGCACGGACCATCGAACAAAGAAAAGGCGAAACTCTCTGCTCTTATACATGTTAAACAACTGCCAATCTTCAATCTAACAGAACGTGCTCCCCAACTCACCCCTGGTCATGGTCCCTGTACACGCCGATGAGCCCGTCTGCTTTATCGAAGAAGGTGTCCTTGAGCGAGATGACGACGCTCTGGAACGAGTGCCCCGCGTTGCGCTGGCCCGCGTTCTCGCGCGACTTGGCGTGGATGTACGCCGCAACACGCGCGACGTTCACGTTGTCCAGCGCGGCGTCGACCTCGTCGAGCACGAAGAATGGCGATGGGCGGAAGCTGCACGAAGAGAGGAAGAAGCTGAGTGACGTTCCACTCCAACTCCAGTTCAAGGATACGTCGATCCAGCCTAAATTGGGCAGGAAATGAACGATCTTCTGAGTGATTGTCGAGCGCGACAAGGAAGATGCAGTAAGAGAGGGTAAGAAACCTTCGCGAGAGACGACGGCATGAGGTTGACCAGCTGTGATGGCCTTGACGGAAACGTCTTGTATCAATTTGAACCAAGAAACTCTGCTCACTTCTCATAGCTCCGCCCCAACACTTGACGGCTGTCACCAAGTACCAAGGGCAACGAAAGCAATGACCAGCTCTCCGTCACACCTCGTAGCAACCCCCTAATTTAACACCGCCTCTCCTCCGCGACCACCAGCGCCACCCTTGTCTTACATCAGCCCCACAACTCACTCCCCCACTCTCCTACCTCTCCTCGTTTCAGGCCTTCTAGAACGATTGACACAATACACTAGGTCTGCTTTGCCTTTCTTGGAAAGGTCGAGCAAACCTTTTCGGTCCTGACAGGTCGAACAGGCAACTGCATCGTCTTGTTCTGTGGGTCTGGAGCAGAACCCCAGCTCGCTTTCTCGCAGGGGGCTGCCAAGCAGAGTCAGCCCAGAGAAAGCCTTCACTCTTCACTCTCGCGTTCGCTATGGAAGACTTGACTCAGGCTGTTCGGTAGATCATCATCACTTCTGTGTATTGAAATTCAGGCACTGTGCAGCGCCGTTTTGGAGAGACCACTACTTACCTGTGGATGGCAAAAAGGAGCGCCAGCGCCGCGACCGTCTTCTCCCCGCCTGACAGCTCCTCCATGTTGCGGAAGCGTTTTGTGGGCGGCATGGCTGTATACTTGATGCCGTGCAGGAACGGCTCCTCGTCGTTCTCCAAGCTCAGGTACGCGGTGCCCCCGATGGGGTGGTCCGGGTCGCGCGTCAGCTGCTTGTAGATGCTGTCGATCTCGGTGGAGATGTGGGTGAAGGCCGCCATGAAGCGCGCGTACCTGTGGGTGAGGAAAATAGCGTCGGATTTTTTGTCCACGTCTGTAAGAATCGTACAATTGTCGACGGCATATGCAGGTTGATGCTTGATATTGCGAAGGACAGCAGGACAGTCAATCTCCTTCAGTACCATAGGGGGTCTTATTCAAAGCTCATGCGTACCTTCAGAAAAAAGACGCGTAATGAAGGGGCAGACTTTAGTGCCCTCTACGCTGAGTTCTTTTTCTCAAACTCTAGTTATTGTGACCGTGGCAGTTCCGAGAGTTGCAAGTAATGAAACGAGTTCCTTCCAAGGCGAATTCCGACACGCAAAGCAACTCGCAGCCGAAATAGACTACCAGGAATTCTGCAGAGCGGCGCAAGACAGGCTTGATGACACCTTCAAACTGGGAAGTTAGCCAAACACGCGGGGCTCCCCTAATGCACTCTTTCCGGGACTCACCGCTCGTTCTTGACCTTGTTGAACTCCTCCGTGATCTGCTTCTCCTCTTTGCGCGCCGCCTCGAACTCCTCGACGACGCCCCGCTCCTTGTCCCGCAGCTGCTCGTACTGGTCCAGCGCCTTCAGATTGGGCGCCGTCTTTTCCATCTCCGCCGTCATGGCCTCGATGCGCGACCGCAGCTCCGACTCCAGCTTCTCGCGCTCCGGCCCGGACGCGGGCTGCAGAGAAAGCAAGTAGATAAGTGCACAATACACGACAAAGTAGGAGTTTTTCCCTTAAAAGGTGACCCAAAGGACGCAAAAGCTCTTCTCCATCTCCGCCGTCATGGCCTCGATGCGCAGCTCCGACTCCAGCTTCTCGCGCTCCGGCCCGGACGCGGGCTGCGGGGAGAAAAGAGAAGAACCAATACTGTATCAGTGATTTATCAGTACTTGATTGATTAGCCTTTCTGTGAGAAGCGGCAATGGCCGTGATGAAAGCGTGGTTTTTAGTGACCCACAAAACACAAGACTCGCTTCATTGCTTTGATGCGCGACCGCAGCTCCGTGTCTAGCTTTTCGCGCTCCGGAATGGAGGCGGGCTGCGAAGAAAACAGATAACACTGGTGCTTTTCTTCTTGGCAGATTCGCAAAAGCCTTGCTGAAAGTAGTGGATGAAAGCGACCGCAATGCGTAATGGCAGCTCCAGGTCCAGATTCTGCGCTCCAGGCCGAAGGCAGGCGGCAGAAAAGAAGGAGAAGAAGGGGCGCGTTTCTTATTAGCCTATCCGCAAGAGCCTTGACGGGGTTAGAGTGACCCATAGTGCGCGAGGGTGAGATTGGCGTGCATGCGATACTGAAACCGAGCACAATGTCTTGGCGTTTTGATACATTCCCTTTTGCTTCTACAAAATTTAGCAGATTATCCGAAGACGTGTCCGACGTCTTGTCTTGCTTACCGTACTGGTTGCAGAGGACTATAGATCACTGTTCCAGCGTTTTGCATCCTATGCAAGACCAAGCGCGGAGCCTGCGTAGAAGTGCCTTGGCCGCTCTCAAATAGAGGTAGCGGAAACGTCTGACGGCTTGCGTCATTCGAATTTTGAAACATGCTTTTGAAGGCAACCAAAGGACACACGCAGCGGAGACTCACTTGTTGATACTTGCGGCTGAGGCTGGAGTAGTCGATCCCGGTGCCTCGCAGGGTCGCGGGCTCGGATGCGGACGGCTCTCCGCTGTCCACGTCCATCGGCTCCGACTCGTCCTCGGCAGCGTCCGAGTCGACCCGGGGAAGCGGCACCTGCTCCAGCTCGCACGCCTCCAAGACCTCGCTCCGGACGCTCTTCAGCTGCTCGATGTGGGTCTCCTGAAACCGAGACAGTTTAACTTCTTGGTTTGTCTGAAAGAAAGATGGATTGCCCTTGAGCCGCTCGGGATGGGTCTCCTGAAACGGTTAAGATCTCAATAAGCAGAAAATAGGGATTGACTGCCTTCTGAGCTGCTTTGGAAAAGTATCTTAAATCCGGATGAGAATTGAAAATGACTTCTTGAATAGCACATACAAGGCAGCGTCCGAACCGACCCGGCGGAGGGGTATTCGCACGCCTCTAAGACCTTGCTCCGGACGCTGTTCAGCTGCTCGATACTGGTCTCCAGAAACCCGGATTGGGTCTGAATTGAATCCCTGCTTAGCAAAAAGACGCGGCGTCTGAAAAATCCACGGGAAAAGGCACTTGCTCCAGCTCGCACGCTTCTAGAACCACGCTCTGGACGCTCCTTAGCTGCTTGAAATGGGTCTCTTAAAACTTGAACGATTTTGACTTCTGGTTGAAACCAGATCATATCGAGATTGTTCTCTCGATTCTGCGCGATCGAAGATGGAAACACTCCTGAGCGGCTCAATCTGGGTCATCTGAAACCGGAATGATTTTCGATTTAAGGCCATGGACTCCGTTGCCATGGCCAGCGCAGGAGACGCAACAGCCCGCATATCTTAATCTGTTCACCTTTGTAAGCTTGAACGAAGAATATTAGGATTGAGATGGCGAACGTTTTTGGGCACAATGAAACGCAGTATCCATCCGGGTCAACAAGTATCGAGGCCAAACATCACAGGTGGGGTCCCACTCACAGCCAAAAGATACAGGGGGAAAAGGGAAGAAAAGAGGAAAAAGAGGGATATAATGGACTCGGGAGGATATAACACCTTTTATAGGACGAAATCAGGAATATCAAATGGCCCCCAGATGGCCGTTCGATACAGTGCTTATTATTCACTCTGACCGTCCGCTCTCTGGAAAACCATTTAGTGACGAATAGGAAAAAATGACGTTGCATCAAAATCCTATTTCCGGCGACTCGGACCCCGGTCTATGGTCGACACGTGGTTTTTTTGACACGCGGCCCAATCAAAACGGCGGTTTTTATGTCCATGTCCCTATCTGAGTGGGACCGACAAGAGAAACCCTCTGCCATCAGCCCGTAATCCAAGGAGGGAAGGCCACAAGTATGGGAATTGACGTCAACACCAATTGGTTCAGCCAAGGGTAGAATGACAAGGAGCCCCACCTTTGCCGTTATCTGCTTTTTCAGCTTTCCTGCGGCTTGCGTCTTTTCCGAGATCTGCTTCTTGAGAGCGCTGATCTCCTCTTCCACGGCATCAGCCTTCTGCTTGGACTCTGCAGCGCCAAGAAGAAGCTCGTAACCATCTTCCATGAACCTGACTAGACCAAACCGGACCGGCACATCGTCAAGCGTACTCTCTTTCACATCCTGATATAGTCACTGGCCCTTCAAGAGCTGGCCAAAGATGTATCACCAAGTGAAAGCACTCAAGGGAAGTTGCAAAAAGTCACCTCCGGAAGTCTGAGTGTGATGATCGAGAAGACAAGGACGTCAAACACCGTAAGCGGACTCGACAACGCACATCTGGACAATGGCTACGTTTTCACACCGAAGCCGTCCACAGCCTGAGTATCTACCATGTATTCTGAGATCACCATCACAATCGGGAATAAAGCTTCTGAACGGCTCACCTTGCGATTCCGCCGTGATTGCGTCCAGCTCCGCCGTGATCGCATCCACCTCCTCCTTGACGTCAGCCAGCTTCTGTTGCAACTCCTTCAGCTCCTCCTTCGCTTCCGAAATCTGCTCCTTGGTCTGCTTGACAGGCTCCTCCGTATTTCGCCGCCGCTCGTATTCCAGTCTGTACAAAACGAACGGCTCGGATCTGCCTAGGTCCCATCAGCGTTCCAAAGCCGACTGAAGAAGCGCCGGAAACATGCTTTTGCCCGCATGTTGCTTTCGTTACAGTAAGTTCCTCCTCCACCCGGTGAGGAACGGCCCACTTTTCCATGGGTTTCTCCTCAAAGGCGCAATCTCGTCTATCTTGGAGTCAACGAAGCAACAAGGCCCAAAAGCGAACTGATAGAGGGCGGAGCTGTTTACCTTGTTGCTCAGCCCTGCATTACGGAACTATTATTCTGAGGAAATGAAAGAGTGCGGATGGTTGCTGCTATGGCCATCCCGCTTCCGCAACTCAGCGCTCGCTTTTATCTGCAGCTGTAAACGAAAGAGAACCGTATCCTCTCTGCAGCTGTGAATAGAGGAAACCCCTCCAAAGGATGGAAAACGATGCCCATCTGCAGCAGTCGGAGCGAGAGCAAAGGACGCTGCCCCACTCACTGGCTCTTGATCTTGGCAATCTGGTTCTTCAGATGCAGCCGGCGCTCGTCCATCTCCTTGTGCTCCTTGAGGTACTTTTCCTCGTACTCGCGGATGCTCGCCACGCCCACGCCGCGGCTGAACTCGGCGAAGATGCGGTCCTTCACCTCGTTAATGCGCACCTGCAGCTTCGCCATCGCCGCCTCGCGCTTGCTCACGGCGTCCCGGATCTGCGGGGCGCAGTAGCACGCACTTCGTCAGACCTGGCCGCATGACTGGGATCCTGATCGCAGAACTGAAGCCATTTGATAAGCCAAGCCTGGCCAATGCAGGGCTCTGTGATCAGCAGAACTAGGGTTGGATGAAGCGGTCAAGAATGACGAAAAGTTCAACGCAATCATGTTTTGTCCACTTGAGAACACGCCTCGCAACGCCAACCACCATTTTCTCGCAGCCACCGTAGCTGCTATCAGGTGAATACCTCCCGTTGACTATGGCAATACCGGGAAGCTGAGCTAAGACAATCAGTTGCATAACGAGACGCTTTACCAGAAGGTTGGAAATCAAGGTCCTAGCAGGGACACTCAACCACGACCTACGTCCGTTCCTTAAAACTTCTGCCTCGAAATGACTCACAAATTCAGAGGGCGGGTTCCCGAAATGTCAAAGTGTGCTGCCTCCGAAGGACTCTACGTCAGCTGCACGCACGAAGCAGGTAATGTTCATGACCAACGCCTTTGCGCTTCTACCAGTCGCTTACCTGCACGAGCTCTGGCTGCACGCTCTTCTGCTTCTGGGAGTTCACCTTCCGCTCCGACCGGATCTCCGCAATCTTCTTCTCCAACTCCTCCTGAAGAAACGAGAGAGCAAAAATAATTTCATGATCGGTCTGCTTTCGCGTAAGATTGTGGGCGGCAACGTGTGGCGACTCTTTGATGGTACTTTAAATTTTCGAGAGAGTCTTCATCTCCACGCCACTCTTGGAGACCGGGGTTAGAGTAGAAGTCCGGTGCTTCTGGGCGACAAGGTGTTCGGACCCTTGCTTGCGTTTCCAGCTTCAAAGTTCGTTCGCAGGACCTGTTCTTTTTCACATCGTGCATCAACGAAAGCGGATCAAACTTTGCCGAAACCTTAAACCAGGGCACACGGCCAAGATTGAGCAACCAGATGATGCAACAAACTCTCACTGTATCGTACAACCCCGAAACATCGCTGCTCGGTCTCTGCTCACCAGGCTGACTGCAGACAGCTGCAGTTTCCGCTCGATCCCGGCAATCGACGTTTGCAGCTCCTGCAGTGCGAGGTCCAGTTGCCGTGGGTCGCCCAGCTCCGCCTTTTCCGCCTCGTACGCCTCGCGCTTCTTCTCCAGGGCTGCAGCAAAAGCAGGAATGACGGAAGAGCTGTGGTTCTTATACATCTGGACTGAAAGAACCAGTGCAACAGATGGTGACAAGAGATTCAGAACGGAGCACGTGCAAATGACCACGGCGAAGATGTGTCATAGCGTTCGGAAACTGCAAAGGGACGAGAGCCAGCGGATCGACCACGGCGCAAGGCTATTACTAGCAATACCAAATACCAGCAGACAATTTCCGAATGGACATCTTTGCAGGTGAAAACTCGTGACAGTGCCATGTCGAAACAATCCACCGATAGTCCTTTTGAAAGGCTGGACGCCCTATCTCTATGGTTGTCCAGATGTCCCAGCGAGCACGACAGTATGGTGCGCCGAGAAACCCACCTTCAACAGCCTTATCGTCCCACCTCTTCGACTTTGCCTCCATCCCTGAGCTCACTCCTCCGGTCACGTTGCCGTTCTTGGCGATCAGCGTACCATCCAGTGCAACCACTGTGAAGGAGGGAAGATTAAGCTACTGGATGGGAACATTCGAGCGGAGGACAATCCTTATTCGACTTGTCGTCCCGACCTGTGAGGCGGAAAGCGAAAGGAAGGAGGCGGCTAGCAGACTTGCCCAGAAAATTGGATCGACACAATTGCAACCTGCCGTGTATCGTGCTAGCAAATCTCGAACATCTGCCGAGCCTGGGCCCGTACTGATACGCTGGCAGCAAACAATACACACTGGTCTATCGCGTTTGTATGCTTACCCTTGTGCCTCTCGCTACTGTATGCCAGCTTCTTGGTCTCTTCCACCGTGTCGCACACCAGAGTCTGGCCGCACGCAAACAGGAACGCCTTCTCCAGGCTGGCATCGTATTGGAGGACGTCCAAGATGAGCTTTGCGGAGCCGCCGAGCGCGCGCAGATGCTCGGGGACTGCCTTGGCCTTGATCGTCTGGAGCGGGATGAAGGTCATCACCGGTGCGCGCTGCTCCTTCAGGTACTGCAGATAGGAGGAGGACCCGTGAATGCATGAGACAGGTGGCACGGTTTCTCGTCTCGTGGGCTCAAGAGATCTGGTGTCAATTGAACAGTCTACTTGCGCTTGGAAAAACGCCGCCCAGTCCGCTGGCCCTCCTTGCTCTGAGTTTACTCCGCTCAAAGGCAGCGTTCAGATGAACAGCATCATCCTACTCGACACGTCCGCTCTTAGTTCTCGGAAGCATAGGAACTTAGAAAGGAGAGAGCAATGTTGCTGTAACGGAGGCTAAGTGGTAGAACAGGTGAGCAAGCGCCTGCCTAGAGACCCGCAAAGAAGCGGGAACAAATGAAACTTAGAATTACTCAGAAAGATTGTTGCAAACAAGATGCGTCCTTCCTCGACCCGGCTTATTGACGGCGAGTTTCAGCGACAGACGAGAGTAATGATGTCTTGTCAAAAAAGGCGGAGGCAGGCTGCCCCTTTGCCACCCTAAACAAGACAAATTCGATATCGAGGAGCAACCCGTCAAACGCTGCCTACAACTGAGCACGACTAGGCAACTGCGATATGCTTCCAAACCACCGCTCTTTACCTGGATGCAGTCCTTCGCCGTCTTCTCATCCTCCACGACGATCGCGTCAAAGTTCTTGCCCATGGCCACCGCAATCGCCATCTGGTACTTCCTCTGCGTGGGCTCGCATAAGTCAGACAGTCTTCCTCGCACCGCATGTCCGTACAGGCGCTTCATGCCCTCCAGCGCTTCCGCAGCCTTCCGGTCCCGTTCGCTCAGCCGCAGGTCCGCTCTCGCCTCGGCGATCTGGCCTTCGATCTTTTCGATCTGGCCTTGAAGGGTCACCGAACGTGTTCTGCACAACGGGTTTGTTCCTCTTGTGTCGATGTTGTGTAACTTAAGATTATCAAGCGTCAAAGAGGCCTCGAGGACTATGCTTCGACAAACGGTAGCCTAAGCCAAGCCCTAGTGACAATTTTATTCGCAGCCGACTGTGCTGGAGCGCGCCTCTTGCATGCGATCGGAGTGCAAACTGCAACAAAGCTCGCACTACTCTGTATTACGGTATTCAATCCGATGAATGCGACCATTGAATCCCCAATCGCTTGCAAACCAGCTGCCGAACGTCCGCCACAAACAACTTCCCAGAAAAAGAACCCAGGCTGTCAAACGCGTCGTACCACGAAGCTATTTTCCACTGTTTCTATCCTCGCTCCAAGCGGGCTTCCTTTCGAAGCTCAAAACCACTTCGTCTCCTTTCGACCAACGCTCCGAAACGCACCTTGCCTTCTTGTTCCGTTCCGCCATCTCCTCCGCTTCCCTCTTCTTCTCCGCCAGTGTTCCCTTGGCCTCCTCCATGGCCTCCACGATCTTCTTCCTGCGCTCCAGCGTCACCTCCTCCTGCCCCTCTAGTTGCTGCTCGCGTGCGCTAAGCTGCGAGATGTTGTCCTCCAGGTTCCGCTGCGCCTCCAGGTCCGTCTGCTGCTGTGCATCCAGCGCGTCGCGCTCCTTCTGCAGCTTGGCGGTCTTTGCCCCGGCCTCCGCTTTTCTGCAGGCACGTATACATGGATTGTCAGTATCTATGGGTAAGGAGAGTGCTACTCTTTCCGTGCTTTTAAGGAGGCACAAAGCCACCATGACCCCAGCCCTTAAACAGGAAAACCGCATGATTTTCAAGCAGGACTAATGTTCAAGTACAGACCACTTCCGTTGCCTTTGCCTCCAAAGCTTGCTCGCACCATGTGCCAGGAAGGAAAGAGGCTCGTTTCCAACAGTTCCATCACTCCGAAAGCGCAGGACCACATGACCTTCACGGGGAAAGTCAGAGGGCAGTCTGGTTAAGTGAACAATCTATCCGGATTAGTCAGTGCAACAATGAATCGCATGCGTCACTTACAACCGGTTGTACTCTGCGAGCTGGTTTGTGGCCAGGTCCATCTTGCTCGAGGACTCCTCCCCTTCGTTCTCCTCCAGGAGCGTGGTCAGCTGCTCCAAGCTCTGCTCTAGCTTCTGCACCTCTGCAACCTGCTTCTCATGCTCGGCTTTCTTGGCTGTCAGGCCCTTCTCTGACGCCTGGAGGTTCTTCTCGACGCGCTTGATCTCTTCCTTCAGCTTCACCAGGTCTGGTTGCTGCATGGCAAGGTTGGCGATACAGTCGGTGTTTAAAATCGACCGATTGTAGTGACTGCAAACTGCAGACAAAGCAGGACTGGGTGCAGTGTTCAGAAATTTCACTGACTAAGTCGAATGTGCGTCGACTTTGTTGCGACCTAGGAGGCAAACATCGGGCTGAACGGACAACATGAGATTGGATCAATCTAAATGAGCTTGGGAAGAACAGTGTGAATGGAAGCCGAACAGGCAGGGAACCAATCAACTAGGTGGATACCTCTGGTGAAAAGGCTTCTGCAAGTTCTTATTGTCCAATACAAAGATGTTACACTCACTTTCTTCTCTGCATCTGCCTTCTTCTTGGCCGCCTTCTTCTCAGCCAGAAGAACCTCCTTGCTGTGCCTAGCCTGTTCCTTCTTCTTCTCCTTCACCTCACTCTCCACTCCCCCTTGTTCTTGCTCAACAGCTTTCAGCTCAGAGTTTAGAGCCTCCAGTTCAGCAGTAGTGCCCTTAATGTCCCTATCTATGTTGAAAAGCTGGTACAGGAAGTGTTCTGTCTTCAACTTTGTCTGCACAAAAGAGACGCCACCACAAGTTAGATGGATTACTTCCTTTGCAATGTAGCATGGCACATGAAAAAGCACAACTCTTTCAAGTTGCTCTATGTTCCAGCGATAAGACACTGCCAAGGGCAACGGGCACTGGTCAGGATGTGACAGGAGAACGTTCGAGTGACTATGTTGGGCTGATGTTTCGCAGATTGGTAGAAACAGAGACGATGGCTCCATTCTCCACCAGGTTGTACAGAAAACCTTACCAGGTCTTCTTGCAAAGCCAGGTGCTTCTCCGCCTCCTCCTTTTGTTCCTTCTTCTGCTTGCGCTCCCCAGACGTAGTCTTCTTTTTCTGGTAGCTGAACATGGTCCGCTGCACTGCCTGTTCCCTCTTTGAATCCAGCTCCTCATAGTCCTTGGTAAGCTCGTCAGAGGTGGAAATGTGCTCAAAGAGTGCCGTCAGCTCTTTGGGGCTCTTTGTAGAGACAGACTCGACATCGCCCTGCGGAACCAGATTCAACACTTTCAGAGAGCATGCGAGAGGTAGTTCCGGTCCCTGCTTGCAATGTCACCAAATCGACCAGTCAGGAAACGACTCCCAAATACTGTTTACCCAACAAAAGTCCTTCCCATTTGGGCCCCCGCAAGCAGAGGAAACGTGTGTGATGGACAATGCTTGTCCCCAACAGCAATGCAAAAAGATTACCTGGAAGACAAGGAAGTTCCGGGCCTTCACAAGGATCCCTAGCGAGCGCATCTTGTTGTTGTACTCGTCCCAGCTGACCACCTTATCATCAATCCTGTACTCGCTGGCACTCTGCAGAGTGATGCCCCTGGTGAAGGACAGCTCAGTGCCGTCTCCTTGCAAGTACACCAGCTTCACATGAGCCTGCACCAGACAACCGTCACATCGCTTCTAACCAGTATTTCTCCTTCAAAATTGTCCCTTGCAGATGGACCAACTGGACGCCATCGGCAGATAGACATGGCGCTGACATTCCAAGGGCAGGCAAATTTCCTGGCAGCAGTGCCCCTAAGAAGCATAACATGTAATGCCATACAGTTAGCTCCCTCCAATTTGCAAGTGCAATTTCAATGAGATTGCTAGAAGAACTTGATTTCGATCAACGAAACGTACACACAATACACCTCGTTGGAGACTGAGAAACCACCAAATGCTGCCCGCAATTGTGACATGGGACAAGATGCGGGATCGAGGGCTAGCTTACCTTCCTGCGGACCTCTCTCTCCTTGTCATCATAGGCATAAACCAAGTCCCTGAGCTGAGAACCACGCAGATGAGACGACCGTACGCCCAGCACAAAGGAGATGGCATCCATGAGATTGGACTTTCCGGCACCATTGGGGCCGATGATTGCAGTAAAGTTCAGGAAAGGCCCTATAACTTGATGCCCCTTGTAAGATTTGAAATTATCCACCTCCAACCGGTGAATGCTGCCGTTGGAGGGCATGATTGTGTCTGGCATCTTCTTCAGTTGCAGCTAAGAGCAAGAGCAGACTAGTCCTCCACAGAAGGTGGACCACAACAGCCTATGAGCTATTGAGCGTTCAATTACGTACAACTAACCGAGCCCCCGACCACTTTGCATTGCGTGAGGTCCCGCCAGCAAAGGAGGGTGAGCCACTTGCATGCACTGGCGGCACGCCGGATTTTCTACATGCAGGTTGACAAGGACCTGTCCACCCTCAGAAAATGATTCTCCGATGGTGGCCTTGCGCTCTTGGAGCCGCTGTCCCCCTCCTGAACCTAGGCATGTCGTCTCGACGTGCGCTCAGCGCTGTGTGCACAGCTTCTCTGCAGTCTCTGACTCTGACTCTGAGTCTCCGTTTGTGTGTTCAAAGTTCTCCCGCCAAATCTGCAAGACTCGAGAGGCTCTACCGTGAGTCGTGACAGCCCTGAGAGACGGTCAACGCATCGCCGTCGAATCACCTGAAGCAAGATTCAGGGCAAGAGGGTTCGATTTCAAATACTGTGGGTATAGGCTCCGCGGAGCTCCGACACCCTTGCTCCCGTGCAGCGACTGTATGAAACGCCTTCCACTTGGTGCCACTCACGATAAGTTCCTGCCGTTGGATGCTCCCATCCTTTTTCCTCTGACGGTCGTATCTGCTGCGAAGAAGCACTGGGGCACCTTGCGTTTCACCAGAGCAGTGGCGCTGTAAGTACCGTCGCAATCGCAGGAAGAGATTAAAATTTGGAAGGAGCCTATGATTTTACTGATCAAGAGGCGCGGCGTATGTGCTGCATGCGGCGCCCCTTTCCAGAGAAGGGATGATATTGTTGATCAACATTGCTACATTGTGGCAGGGCATCAGAGTAATCGTGTTTCGATCCTGGTCAAATGCCTTGACCCAAGTTCGGGGGCAAATTAGGGTTACGTTGTTTGTAGGATTTGTTTTAACGGGCATTGCTCCATTGGCTTAGCCAAGAAGCAATGCATTGTAAGCACATGTGAAGCCTGCCCAAAGCGAGGTTCGCCCGGTACCAGCGTTCTAAGGCCAGCAAGGCGAACTGGCCGCACAAGTGTTGAAAGTTTGGGGGTGTCAGACATCATGGCCCTCGCCATTTCCAATCTTTCTGCAACTTCTCAGGGGGGCTCTTTCCATTCCACCATTCTGCAACCTGCACAGAGCATTCAGAAGCCACCGTTTGGATCCACAGCAGTGAGATTGATTCCCAAAGAAGAAACAGAAACCCCAGCAGAGCCAAATGAAAAGTTGGTGACTCTCAGACTAGAGAGGGAGAAGAAGTTCCAAGAATTGACTGAGCAGATACATCGAGACACGCAGGTATGTCACCTTCGGGAACTTTCAAATGCAAGAACAACCTTGTATACTGTCTTTGTGATTGGCAAGTCACCTGCTTTGCTAGCATTCTCTCAGAGCTGACAGAACACTGGAAAAAGTAATTAGTGTGCAATCTGTGACAAGCAAGGAGGAGGCTCCCAGTTCACTTCGAATGAATTCTCAGACGCTTGCTTGAGTCAACAGACTTCGTTACTGGAGTACTAGCAAGAAATCTGCTCTAGTCCAGAGTAAACTGCTGGATTATCATCAAAACCCCGTAATAAGTATTCGCCAAGTTCGCTGCCACAATGTTGACTCCCTGAGAAAGTGAAAAGCTTCCAAGATTGTCGAACGCCTACTCATTCTCGTGCCTCCTTACCTGCAGAAAAAGATGGAGAATGCTGCGGCAAAGCGAGATGCTAAATTTCAGACCATGCTCCAGTCAGTGATGAATGGGCTGGAAGGCCAGGAGAGCATCCTCAAAGAGATTGAGGAGCTGATAGCAGAGGAGGACAGGGCTCGAGAAAAAAGGCAAAAAGAGCTTCATGAGGCAAGGCTCCGACTTCAGCCTCTCCTGCTGCTAGCCAGCTTGTGGCCCCGTTGTTGCGAATGCTGCAGTCATGAGGTCTCTGCTACTGCATCTATTGTCACACCGATCAAACTTAGCTCTTGGGTTTGTCATCCAGATAACCAATGAAGATGTACGCCGTTTCCACGACTTGGTTCCACAGAAGGCCTTGATCAAAAGCATTACTGAAATCAGATAATGGGAGACCGAGTCGTACGTGCCGATTAGAATCAGATCGAGCTACACAAGTCTTTTGACGCCATCTATCTTGAGAATTCTCAACACGATATTCAGGCTGACTTGCCCGCGATATTCCCTGCTCCATTTCAGCCTGCAAAAGCTCCCAATAGAGGAGATGAGCAGACAGAATGAAAACGCAGCTACCTTGCTTGTCGCGAAGCTTTCCTTTTCATACGCATTGAGGTGTATCCTGCTGTGTTGCTAGGAGTGGGAGAGGAACGTGTACAGAGCCATCCAGGAACAGGTCGAAGGCCAGCTAGAGAACCTCTCCACAGCAGAGCTGGAGGCCAGACGAAGTGAGGATGCGACAAAACCCGCTCTGTTTCCTTCTGCTCCTGCTTAGGCCCTCGAGAGCTTGGTCAACCTTGTGAAGTCTGCTCCACAATTTCACCTCGGTCTTGCTGCTAATCTCTGGTGAAGGCGTTCTTCGCCGTCTTCGATCAGAACACACGGCAGTGCAAAGAGGTCCCTTCTTTGAACGGTTCGAGCAGCAGAGCAGGGCTCGTCCATAAACGTCCAGAAAATGTTGTCTTCATTTATCAAGTGGGCAGACAAAATAGTTCTCAACTGGGCCACTGCAAAGGCAACACGTTAATCTGCTGACGCCAGTAAACTTGCTGCAGGGACGGTAGTCGAGCAATTCTTGGCGAAGTCGAAGACAAGGGCTGGCACGTTCCTCAACATCATAAACCCAGAGGAGTACAACCCGTTCGACGCTCAGGCCTCACAGATCAAATACACATTGGACCAGAGCCGAGACCCCCTGCTGCGAGAACTGACGAAGGTGAACAGCGCAGCCCTGAAAAATGCATACTTCTGCAGACTCCCACCTTCGTTGCGAACTCGTCGCGGCTCTCTCAGCTCCGGAAGGCGATTTGTTGCCAATTCGTTACTGAGTTGTCGCTTCCATCTCGCTCAAGCTCTTCCGATAATGCGTCCCCTCGGTGTAAAATCCGTGTAAAATTCAATGCGCTCCTAACGCGCTTTCCTATCCTGGTGCAGTCCGTTGCGGAAGAAGCGGAATTATCCGAGTCGGGAGGGGGATCCCCCGTCCGAAAGGCCCGTACGAAGGAGATGTACGACGTGACCGGGTGGCGGTCGGACGTCCACCGGAGCACCGTGTGGGGTCACTTTTTCGACGACGAAGGGTCGCCTATTAATCTCAACGGGCATCCCAGGTCAGTAGACTGGGCCGCCTGGTGAAACATGGGTTGCAATCGCCACGAGTTGAGCCTGGTGGGCGATTCGACATTGGATCTGAAGAAGCTGTGGTTGGGGTTCACGAAGAGTTGGCTGCATGGTTGAGGCTTGCCTGCTTGCATCTAGTAATGCGGCTTCTATATCGCGTTTGTTACTGACTTGTCGCTGCATTTGCTCGCTTTTCGTTTCTCATCTTCGTAAGCAACCGCATGGATTTCGATTCCGCGAAGTCGACGTTTATCTCCGATTACCCCCCACCGTTCGGGGCTCAGTGGCGGATCAAGCAGCGTTACGCTGGCTTGATAGAAATACTGAATCTCGTGTTGCCAAGACAACGGATGTCCCGGTTGGTCACACGTGCCACGATCAGAACCACCGCCTGCCGCAAAGCGCAATCGCAGCACTCTGTTGAGACTTAAAGCTTCAGACAGCGAAAGCAGCAATTGCGAGAGAAAAGCACAGCACTGTTAATTGGCAGCGACCTTCGCGAACCGACGGGCCACTTGACAGTTTGAAAGCCCAAATGAGGATTTAGCCGCAAAGATTGCCTATCTGAATTTGCTGGTGTAAGAATGGCTAGGGGTCAAAAGTGCACTTTGCCGCACCCAGTGCCGCTTTTCGCCTGCTTGAGCAGGATCTTACGTGCTGTTTAAAGCTTATTGTCTTGCGTGGACAAACGAAGTGACTTGAAGTGAGTTGAACAGGAAACAAGCGGGGCAATGTATAACATGCTGCCGTCCCGTTGGCCTTGTCCCAAGGCTAGTGGTTCGTCCCCGTTTCCGGTTTCGCCCTCCATTACTGACGTTTCCGCTGGTCGTCGTTGCAGCCGAAACCGGTCGCAAGTTGTCATTGACCACGACCACGCGATCTACGGCAAGGAGATTGTGGACCAAGAGCTGCCCAAAGGGAAAAAGGTGGGCCGCAGAGCGCTCTAGCTCATCTTGTAAACTTACCCAACTTGGTTGCTTCGGATTGGACAGGACATTCACGTGCTCTGAAGTCCACCTTTATCAACTGCAGGTTCGAGGACGTCTGACGGCCGCGCCACGTAGAGCGAACGTTCTTGAACCAAGCTTTGCCTGCTATGTGTACATCGCTTCGTATGTGGGATGAGAGCAGGTTGCGTGCCTCCCCTTGAACGCAATTGTGAACACTTCTTGAGTTGCATTTCTAATCCTCCTGATGAGACTTCCACTCACAGTTTGTGACGGCCTGTCAGTCGTCCAGGTAACAGGGTGATGCCCTTTGGTTTCTGGCCTATGGAGATGCGGCGCAGATTGCTTCACAGCAGTCGAGCGGAGAGCTTCGAAAACCGATTTAAAGACCACATGAGATCAGCTTTGCAATCCTCGTGCGTGTACGTACCCAAGCTTCTCATTTCTGATCGAAAGCAGCACGTCTTTGCTGCAGCTATTGCCCGAAGCGCGCGAACGGCGAGGCGTCGTGGCGATTCCACGTGGCAAGGCAATGGTGCCGCCTCGCCAAGAATAAGATAAAGCATCCAGATTTCCGGCAGCAGCTGTCCCAACACCTTTGGACGCGGACTCCCTGTTGGGAAGGGATTCCGGCTCACAAAACCTCGACACTGCGTAACACATTGTCTTCAGATATCAACCTTGAAACGTGCATGTTGACTCATGCAAGATCGAACTCGATGGAATGATCTATGTGAGGAATCATCAGATTACGACACGTGCTCATGGCAGGCCGTATGTTTCATTCAATGGATCACTCGTACGTATGCCGCGCGGCCCCGGCACTCATACTAACTGCGAAAGTGGCCGGGCGCACCCGATAATCTGAAATTTTGATCAGAACGTACGTTTGTTATATGATGAGCATCATGAGGCCCACAAGCTTCATTAATATACTCTACCGTGTAGAGGCCCGGAAGTACCTCAGGCATGCAGCTAGCTACAGCCCTCAGTATATGTACGCTTATTTGATGATCAGAGCTGCAGTGACTGCAGCTAGATCGCGGGCCTGGGTCCATGGCTGCAACTTATCATACTGTATCATGTTTGCATATACCTATATACTGGAGCTGCACTGACTCGCACATGCGGAGCAATTGGGGCAGCTCAAAAAGCTGCATGATCGGATGCTGGCCCTCGGATCGGATATTATAGATCTGGTATACAGAGTATATAGCGGGCCTCGGGGCCGCCGGGCGGCCGCGCATCTTAATCCAGCTCTAATCATATTGACTTCGACAGTGCCGCAGTTCGTGGCCAAGTGAGCTGAGAGCATCATGTAAGAACATAAGCACTGTCCAATCATGCAAGCATCCGACCGGCTACTAAGCTCGACCATCTCTGACAGTTGCTGAATTGGAAGATCGAATGAGCCAATACTTTACATGTTACATTCAACTACAGTACATGTTAGTGTGTTCAAAAAATGTCTGCAATGCTTCTGCGGAGTCTAGTTCTTGCAAAAGTTTAAGAAAATCTGGTTCTGGAAGGATTGCCTTGTGCTGGATTCAGTGCTCTCCTTGGTCCCAATTTACATTTCTAAGCTCTGCCCAAGACGGCAGCCCTACATACGGGCCCCTTATCCATCAAGCAAGTGCAGTGCAGACTGGCCGCCTCCCCAACGGCGATCCCAACCGCACTCCAGTCGTTGTCAATTGCTCGCCGCTGACGTCACCTGCTCCTCAGAGCCCCCGTCACCCCTCTCGTCCTTGGACTTGTCGCCCCTCTTATGCTCGTTGCTCTCAAGGGCCGCGGAAATCTCGCTCGTTCCGTTGAGGGTTTCCTTCCGGTCCACTTTCACGACTCTCTGAGGCCTAGACTCGCCTCGAACAGGTCCGCCGTTCAGTCGATTCTTCTGCAACGCCGCAACCTCGCTCGCCTCGACGCCGTTCTCTTCGCTGCCCTGTACACTCGACGTTCCTACGTGCTTTTTTCTACTTTCGACTCTCCCTGCCCCTTGACTCTCCATATCCTCACTGTCGGCTCTCCCTGGCTCCGAATCCGCTTGAGCCGTCTCCGAAACTTCCCCTCCGCTGACGTCTCTGAACTCGCTCCGCTCACTCGACTGTACCTTCGCATCTGCGCTATCGCTTGACGCCGCCCCGTTCACCGTCTCCAACCCCTCTTTCACGTCTGCCGCCGCGTCGCCCTTCTTTCTCCGTTCTTCCGCCCCTTTCTTCTCTTCGTCAACCCTCTTTTTATCCTCCGCAGCACGCTTTTTCTCCTCCTCCCGCCTAGCTCTTTCCTGCTCATCCGCCCTTCTCTTCTCTTCCTTCTCTCTCCGTCGGTCTTCCTCTCCCTTTCGCCGCTCCTCGTCAACCCGCTTTCTCTCATCTTCAACCCGCTTCTTCTCTCCCTCCCTCTTGCGTTTCTCTTCCTCTTTCTTCCTCTTCCCTTCCTCCTCGACCCGCTTCCTCTCATCTTCCCTTCTCTTCAGATCTTCCTCCCTCTTCCGCTTATCATCCTCCACCTTCTTTTTCCTCGCCTCCTCTAGTTTCCGCTTCTCCTCTTCCCGCCGTTTCACCTCATCCTTCTTCTTCTGCTCCTCCTTTTTCTTAGCATCCTCCTTCTTCCTCGTCTCCTCTTTCTTCCGCCCCTCTTCCTCGCGTTTCTTCGACTCGAGCAACTCGTCTTCGTCGATGTCGGGAACGGGGATCTTCCAATAGTTCCACGAGTTATAGTCCTCCGCCTCGATCCGGTTCACCGACGGGAACATGTCGTGCACCAGCTGCCGCATGCTGCTGTACCCGCACACGTCCACGCTAACCTTGTTCGCAACCACCTCGCCCTGCGTGCGCACGGGTCAACGGGGTTTAGAGATAGGTTAACAGAGTGCTGCAAGTAGAATCCGTTGCTTTTCAGTCTTTCCGGGGCGTAAAGGTGATTTCAAGTCAAGCTCAACTTGTTGGCCACCACCTCGCCCTGCGCGCACGAGTATTTCATATCGAATAGGTAAAAATGCGGAGATTGAACGCAACCTCATCGTTTATACAGATCCTAGGACGGAAGCGGGCCTGCACGACTGCATCGAACGTCTTAACATTGACCGAAAAGAGGACAGGATCAATGCAACTTGCAAAAAATGTTCCTTGGCTCCATAGCGCTCAATTGCGCTCAATTGCCTCAATCCTCTTGTACAGATTAAGAGCAGCTGCGATCAACGACGAAGCTGTCAGAAGTCCTAAGTACTATGAAGCTGCAGCTCTAACGCCTAGCGACGAACATCCGAAATCACCAGCCATGCACATAACTTCAGAAAGTATTCCAGGGTCGACAAAAACCATCAAACTCTCCAAAGCCACAAACCCTGGGCCGTACCTTCGGATTGATGCTACGATTGTCGCCCTTTTATTTCTGAAAGGACGATCTAACGGCGTAGAAAGCTCCACGACTCGGGCCGTACCTTGGGATTAATGGTGAAGATCTTGCCGCGCGCGATGCCAACCGCGAGGTAGCTGATCTCGTCCGTATCGCGGTTGCCGAAGCCGGCGTAGAAGGGCGTGCTGTTGGGGGGGAACAGCGCGCGGATCTCATTCAGGCACGCGATCTTGAACTCGTGGGGGGTGCGCCGGATGACTGCAAAAGAAGCGGGCTTTGGATGAATATCTCAGAATGCTCAAAAGAAGAGCTTCGAAGGGGTCGAGCTCGCAGGACCGTACAATCGCCAGAAACCGCAGAGTGCGCTACTCAGGTGCCTCCTCAGGCGTCTTGCAGTCCCTGCGACATTGGTAAACCTTAGTTGGTCAAAGTGCCGGACTGTGACTTTGGAAACATGGGTTAAGGGTGATAACTGCCTTCTCCGGGCGAGACCCACGAACGGCCATCACATAGACGAGTCGTGGCAACAGCCGCCCGAGTAACAGTCAGACTGCTCGCGACTCCTTGGAAAGTGGCGATCTGACCATCCAAATCGGGTGTTGTCTAAGAGACCATCTTCGAAGCAAGAAGCAAAGAGGACCGCTTCCTTCAGGATTGATACGAAATACAAAGCAGATCGCTTCACAGAACCCATGCCCACGATTCCAGCCCCCGCGCCCGAAGGCCAAGCAACAAGGGGACTGCGTTGATTCCAAGCTTCGTCATCACGTTTCTCAGACCGAGTGACGAGCAACGTTTCGCGGGCGCTCACCCTCTCTGTAGAGTGACGGGATCATGCCGTCCGGCGAGATGACGATGGGCCCGTCCGGCAGCGACTTGCCGTCCTGCCGGATGCCGCTCAGGAACGCGCGAGTAGTCGCGGACTGACTGATGGCGCGAGCACTCAGGTACATGAACTCGTAGCCGTTCTCCTGAACAGTGAACATGCGTGTACTTTGTGAGTTTTTCAAATGTACTTCTCCTGAGGTCAGTCTTCGGACCCGCACAGATTATTGTGAGAAGCAAGCTGTTGCTGCACAAGTTGGCTATCGAACAGCACGAAACGGCCATTGACTTTAGCTAACGCTGCCAATAAGGCATCACCAGCACAGCTTAAGTCCGGAACAGAACTTCAGAATCGCTGCAGGCAGACCGTGATAGTTAACTATCAGGTAAGCAGCCAGAGACGTACGGCAAGGAACGAAATGAAGCGACAGCCCACTATGGCAGGAAGATCCAAGCAAGCTTGAGGCGGCATACCTTGATGGAGGAGAAGAGGGAGGCGACCCCTGACTGCGACCAGTCGCGGCCGATGAGCGGCGCGATCTGGCCCATGAGGTCGGACCTGGTGATTGTCCCGTCGACGTCAGAGATGATGACGCGGCTGTTCCACTTCCACAGGTGGATCGTGGCGTCCACCTGAGCGGGAGAAAGAACACTCTCAGGAACGCAGCTTGCAGCAGAATCAGTTCCAAGCTTTCCAGGTCCAAATATCTCGGATCTTTAAGCAGATAAGTTTCCAACGAGTGTCGCGATGTGAGTAACAGGAGCGCTTCTCTACAGTTGTTGGGCGTCATCGCAGAAGCTTCCACCAAACCCATGCGTTGCTCCCTTTCAGCCTTGCAATGGTATCGCTGTCGCGGGCAATCTGTGAGGAAGAAGAAGTGCCGTACTCTTCTTCCGTTAGCACACTCTCGTGTGCCTTGCAAGTCGCGTAAGAAAGGTGACAGCCACGCCAAGAGTCCCCGTCGCTCTGTGCAACCAGCCGAACGGCCAACGCAGAGCAAAGTCAGCAATAACTCTTGCTTCCCTAAAACGCAAATGGTGGAGGAGAAGCTGATCTTGTTCTTGTCCTCCTGACACCACCCTCTGTTGCACCTCTGGAATTCCGGACTCTAATTCCGAAGGCCAGCATAAAGTGCGGCAATCACCTCTTGCTTGCCCCACACGCGCGTGGTGAAGGAGAAAGTAATCTTGTTCTTGCCGTCCTGCAGGTTGAGCGACGCCAGCTCCTCGCTCGTGGGGATCAGCGTGCGCAGCTTGCACTTACGCTTGCGCCGCACCAGCGGCCGCGGCGGGGTCGCCTGCACCGCCTACACAGAAGAAAGAATCGTGTACATTTTCCTCCTCTAGCTCGTCCATTCCGTTCCTTTTGTTATGCTTTACTACATCTTCTGTCTTCGATTCAAAAGACTAGTAAGATTACCTGCTTTCGAAAGATGCTGACGGCAATCAAGCAAATATAAAGCCTGCTCGTGTGAGGAAGACGGAATTGGCGCTGCGAGAATGCACTGATGTTCTGCAAGAGCAGCCTAGCTTGCAGGTGACATGTTAAAACGTGGTTTCCGAAACAGAATGTTGCGAAATGCTGAATTATGGGGCTGCCGTGAGCCGGTTGAGCATTTTGCAATCAATATCGCCACCGACTTGCTCAGGCTGGTGAGGACCGGACGGCCAGCTTGCCTGTGCTCAAACAACCATTCCTGGAACCCAAAAACAGCGCCCCACAGGACAATGAGAGAAGCACAGAGCAAGACAAGGAACGCAAAAAACGGAACCTGAAAAGTAGCAAAACCAAAGGACGAACTCAGCAGCCGAGTCTCACCTCTGCAAGCTCCGGCGAAGTTGTCCTGGATCTTGTCCAGCGCCAACTGGCGTGCGCGGCTGTTTTCCAGGCCCACGTGGCCATGAAGGTAACAGAAGAGTAGCGCCTTGCACTTTAAGAAGGAAAACAGAAAGAAATGACCAGGCACATGCAAAGCCAAAACAAAAATCAGTCGGACAGAAAACGATCCAGCAACTGAATTCCCACCTCTGTAGGCTCCGGCGAAGTTGTCCTGGATCGCGTCCCCCCACCTTCCGGCGTGCGCGGCCGCTGCCCGGGCCCACGTGAACCAAAGGGCCACAGCCGCCAGCCAGCTGCGCCCGGCTGGGCCGCGTCCTCGCCCTCCGGCTTGGGCGGCTCCCGCTTCTCAACGGGAATCGCCCCGTCAAACTCGGTGCCTGAATAGCGAAAGCGGGAAAAAGGCTCGATTTGGGTGTTGAATACAGACATTGAAGGCTCGCTTTCTGCCGTAAATTGAATACCTTAAGCTTGAGCTGCGAAGCGGGTTCGGTTTGGGGCTCCTGCTTCTCGACCAGGTCACCCGTCCAACTCGGTGCCTGAGCAGCAACACAAAGGCTCGGGTGCCGAGATATTTCCATACTTAGCTTTTGAATGAGGGTTCTATTCAGGATTTGGGTTGGATGGCTCCCGCGCATAAAGAGAGGACCAAGTGACCTGAACACGTACTTAAGCAGATACGAGGCTTGGGTTGTGGAAGAGGTCCTCCAGGCTGACAATTCGACTTAGATATGTTACGAACCCAAGGTTCCTCTTGCTTCCGGCTCAAAGTCCGATGGCACAAGCTCCCTTGAACACTGAAAGCTGCCAAGCTTGGTTTGGCATCCGAGCAGGCCACACATGCGGCGAGCTAGTGCAGTTCGCGTCAAAGCATGCGCTGTGGTGCATCGTTAGTCCCCTAAAATCCGCAGTCGGTCTAACGATCAATGGTGACAGCAAGTTAGACTAACTTTCCAAATTGATGCCACGAGTCGATTCAAACTGAAGCAAGCATTGGGCTCGAGAAGTCGGACTAACGAACCCTGAAATACGTCAAATTAGGTGACCTGGCATATGACCTTACGGCTGGAATGCCCCACCAATTGCAGTGAAAACGGGGCTCACCGTTATAAGTAGGTACAACGCGCCCGAAGGCCAGCATTCCGAGCAGCGTGGGGGCGACCACTTTCCAGGGGTAGTAGCGGCCCCCGACGCGGCACACGAGGCGCTCATTGCTTATGAGAGCCTGCGGCCCGCTTATGAACTTGTCGAAGGACACTGCCTCGGACTCGAACGCGGCTTGAGCAGCTTCGACACCCATCCCTGCATTCCAGAAGCGTACTCGTTGGGTTGATTGGTCGGAGAACCAGGAGCTTGCTCAAACGGCATGGTTCGAGTGTCAGCATAGGAAAAGGGAAGCTTGCATGTCGAAAAGCTTTAGATGCACCCATGCTCCATGCAAAAACGACTGTTGATCGAAAACAAGGATACCTTCCGTTCATAGCAACTGATCTCGAGCAGAGGGACCGAGATGCGAAAATTTCCTCGATCTTCTGGCTCACGGGAAGACAACAAATATCAACCACCATGCCAGCACAACCAACTCAAGAGCCCCTCCTGTGGTCAACCCGGCATTCGCTTCGAACGAGCACGCACTCACGACTAAACCCCTCGTGGAAGGATTGACGTACCTGGCAGCAGCAAATGTCTGCAAAGCGACAGCTCCATCGCAGTCTCCGCCTTCTCCTTGACCACTGCAAATTCCGCCCCCACCGTATCCCCTCCCTCCCTGTCCGACACCGCAGCACGCAGCGGGTCCGAAGAGTCAAACACTTTCTCGCCTTCCAGGGAACGGGCACTGGGCAAGGCCTCCGGGTTAGCCAAACCCTCTCTCGACTCCCCGTCCCTTGACCGGGCCTCTTCTCTTCCCAAACTCGCTGCCAACTCTCCACTTCTCATACGTGCTTCTTCCGGGTTAGCCAAACCCGTCCCCGAAACCATCGTTCTGAGAGGGGAGCTCCGACACAGGGGGGGCTTCCCGAGGTTCCTGTTAGAGATCGGGGCTTCGTTCGGAGGGGTGCTCTGAGTCGTCCCGGGTTCGGTGCCGGGTTTCGAGTCCGGGTTAAGCACAATAGGCGTGTTGATCCCAGAGACAGGCGCTGACTGTGAGAGCGGCTGGTTGAGAATCTCCCTTAGACCCGAAACCGAGCCCCTGTGCTGCGTACCATCTTTGCGGGAAACAGCTGTCGAACCTTCCAGCCGTTCTAACCTGTCCCTGATTTCGGCATATGCCGGCTCGTGAGAATGAAAACCGGCCCCCGGTCCCGGTAACGAGGCCGCTCGTCGAACCCCCGGTTCGTCCGTTGCCGCAACACCGTTCAAGACGTTACTGCCGGGAATGACCACTGGAGCGCTTCGGACACTGTGGAGGGGGGTCGAACCAGGCTGGACATCGAACCCCCTGAACTGGTTTTCTGGCTCCGCAGGTACGTCTTCAGCATTGGGTGTGGGCTCCGGCGCTGACTGCTCCTCGGAAGCGCTGTCCACGGCCGCCCTCTTCTCGTCCTGCTTCTGCTTTTCTACGAACGCTGCTTCCGCCTCGCTCTCATCCTGGGGATCCACAACTCCTGTGTCTCCGCTCGTCGCGTCCTTTTCTCTGTCAAGAAACTGCGCCGCCAGCTCCTGCTTCAGGCGACTGCGGAAAGCCCTTGAGAGCACTCCCTTGCCCCCCTCCCCGTCAATCGCACCCGCCGATAACAGACCCCCGTCCCCTTTGCCACTTCCGCCAACCCCAGACAGAATCTTTCTCAACCGCTGCTCCTCCCACTTCTTACTCCTGCCCCTCAGGAGCTCATCCAAACGCTCCCCCTCTTCACCACCCACCGTCTTCTTATACGCCGCCACCGCCTCCGCCAAATCCATCCCGTCCCATAGGCGGAGGGGCTCTTCTTTCAGCCGCTCCTCGGTCCGCTGCTCCTCTTCCAGGCTTTCCACCAGCAGCTTGTTCTCAAGCTCCGCCATAATGATGCTGGCTTCCACCGCATGGCCCCCCGCCGTGAGATCAATCTCAATATCGTCCCCGTCACTCTCGCTGTCCTTTCGGGACAGCTTGCGCTTCCACGGCCGGCTTTGGTACCGCGGATCGATCTGCTGGGGTGCAACGGAAGCCTTCGCTTCGTCCCGCTCTCCCTCGTTCGCCATCCCGCCTTCGCTTGCGCTTTCGCCGTCTCTATCGCCCTCCGCAATCTCGTCGATTCTCGCAAAGGAGCTCCGGATCCGCGTCCCGGGCGCGTCGCTGAAACCCCCGCTGCTAGTTCTGTGCGCCAACGCCTGCAGTCCCTCCTTCTTGAACCCCACCTTTCCGGGCCGCTTGACCGCCTTTAATGACCCCTCAGCTTTCTCCCTAAGAAGGTCGTCGGCAAGGCTCGACAGCACCGCTTCTACTTCCCTTTCATCGCGCTTCGCAGGCGACTCATGCTTGCCCCGCTTCAGCCCCGCAATCGCACCTGTGAAGTCCTCCCCTGGCTCCGGAACAGCGTCTTCCTTCTTCTCTGGAGCGGGGCCCCAGATCATCTTCTGCTTCAGCACCCCGTCCAAGTCTTCCTGGAAGTCGCTGTTCACATCCAACCTCCCCCCCTTCCTGCTGAACCCCTCCTGACTCTCTGTCCGCTGCAATCTCCGCACTGGTGTCTGGACTGGCGGCGGCGCAGCCCCCGTCCCGAATAACCGGCTGAAGATCGAGCGCGGGGGTTGCTGGCTGCCGCGTTCCGAACCTTCTCCTTCCCGCCCAGAGCTTTCACCCTCCTGATTGAACACCCCGAAATCAGCAAACGAGTTGCGCGCGCTCTCAAACCCGAGAATGACCTCCTTGGGGTCGTTGACGTCCTCGTTCCCTGTCTGGTACGAGCTCTTCCTGCTGGAGCCCCCCTCGCTCTGGCTCGGCCGCCCGCTTATGTGCGGATCGAGCCCCTCGGGGGAGCTCTTATACCACCAGCTACCCCAGCCCCACGACGCCTTATCTGGATGCTCCTGCATCACAGCCTCTTCTTCAGCGGAAGTTCTTCGGCTCAGGTCACCCCAACTGCTTGACCTCCGAACTTGACTCCCTTTTCCCTCGCCGGCCTTGCCTTCAACGAAATTAATTGGGGGCTTCAGCAGGGGGGGCGACGCTTCCACTGCTTTTGCTGCTTTTCGCACCACTTTCCGCCAGGCCAAATCACGCTCCAGGATCGCCTGCTCCTCAACAGTTATGGAACTCTCCGGCGTCGCGCTGGCGGCCCCCTCTCTCATGTCCGTGTCTTCGAAGCTGTACCCCTTGCCCTCCACTTTGGGAGACATTGACAACACCGAGCGGAGCTCGACTTCGGCGGGAGAAAGGGGGCCTGCCGGCGGGGCGGAGGACGAGCGGCCGTGACCTCGAGGAAACATCGGAGGGGCCTCAGACTCCCCACCGAAGCTTTTGGATCTCAGCTCATCGGAAGGAGGCTCCTTAGATGTGCCAGGTCTCTCCACCCCCTCCAGGCTGTCAGTTGACTTCTCTGAGCCTCCAAGAGCGTCCCCCGTCTCACTCTCACGACCATCCCTCTCTGGATCTTTCCGGGGGGGTTCAGCGGGCCTCTCTTCTGCCTTGGCGGCTTCCCCCTCAGAATCGAGAACCAGCCCCTGCCCTTCCTTCAGGCTCCCCAAGTCTTCGAGCGTCGCCTCCTTATAGTTGCCGGACGGCGTTTCTAGAAGCAGCTGGGGGACGGCTCGAGAGGCCTCGTCGCCAGAGGACCCCCCGGGAGAGAACATGGAGGTGGGGTCAGCCTCGCTGACCAGTTCCTCTACTTCTTTCTCATGGAGAAAGTACGCCTGCGAAAGGGGGTTATGGCTGAGTAGGGAAGCGAACTAATGCTTCTTCAGCAAGAGCTCGCGAAGGAAAGGGAGATCTAGGCTTTGGTAGAGTTCTCAGGCTTGACACTGCTCTGAAGACAAGTGGTCTTCTCTAATGCCTCACTCTTGTTGCAAGGATGACTTTCAAGGGCAGAATCTTTGTTCAGCTTCTTCAAGTTGTAGGCACCTGTTTTATATGGTGGAGAAAGCGCCTTTGAGCTGTGGCGATTAGCATTTTCCACAAAGGGTCCAACTGCTGATAGATGACAACGTGGCTTATATGTACGCCCTACTGAAGCTAATAGCATTGCGCGTCGAAGTAAGCTTGCCGTGACAAAAGCACTACGCAAAACAGCAAAACCCCTCCTCAAAGAACTTCCCTTTGACAGGCATTTTTAAGCATCTGCAAAGGGTCGCTTCTTATCGCGCCATTTAACCTAACCATCCAGCTCCAGCTTTCAAACACCTTGAAAGATTGTTGCAAGCACGTGCGACCTGGCAGCTCATAATTACAACGCGTATAAGAGACTCGAACTAGGTGGAACAGACAGTTTCAGGCAGAAGATCTTACGAAGAGGTGAATCAAACGCATCCAGCGACCGGTCTACTTGCCAAGCAAACACCTCCACATCCTGCGCAGACCTCAGACTGAGCCAAGCGTTCCTAAGATCCTAAAGCAGATGCTTCAGCTTTCAATGTCAACCTCCGTCCAAATTGATAGTTGCGCTCATTGAGCACCAGCAACCCCGGCCTCGCTCGTCGCTAACACTCTCAGGAAACCCTCCAGGACGCTTTTTAGAACACACCCTCTTGAAAAGATAGCACAAACGAAGACGTGAAGAAGATAGACAGTAGACACCTACTAAGAGGTGGGAGGTAGAAAGTGAGGTCCTCATGCATAAACCCTCTCACCTGGCCCCTGTGATCCAAGTACATGCAGAAATTGGCCCCTACGCCATTCACTGACACGTTGACCACCTTCTCACGCCGCTTGAGAACTCCCTGAAACTTGCCAAAACGGACGTAGAAGGGCGTGCTCTTGAAAGTGCCATCCTCCTGCCTGACGACGATGATGTCAACAGCGCCCCCGAAAGGGTGGAAGGGGCCGGAGACCGTGTTGAGGCCCCCGGCCATGATTTGACCAAATGAATACATAGCTGCGTTTGGAGGGAGCACCCTCAAAGTGGTTCTTTTGCTCCTTAGGCCTTACACCGTCCCATGCTTTAATGCCTCTGTCAGACTTTTCCAAAGCTTTTTTCCGACTTGACTACTGGTGACCTGCCGACGCAGTAAATTGCACCACTGAGAACTTGCAAGAAGCAGCGCCCGAAAAACGAAGTGGCCCAATCTGGGACAGGCACGAATGTCTAGCGTCTAGCTTTTGAAAACCTGGCTCCAGACCGTAGGGCTATCGCTGTATGCCCTAGGAGAGACGCTCCAGCCTCCTTCCCCTGCCTGGCCCGGGGCCCTGCGTGCTGCGGTTGGATGAGAAAGTAGGGCAGCCATGCCACGTAGGCAAGCTAGAGAATGAATCTTTTCAGACCATGCAGATTCTCTGACGCCGTAATACCGTACGCTATGACTTCATACTTGCCCCATGCAAATAGGTAGGGTACCGAGTCGGACTGACTACCTACCTAACCCTTCGGCGCTGATCGGTTTATCGGTTTGCTATGACGACCGGGAATATCTTAGGCTACGCGAATTTGATATGGGGTTTCCGGTCCACCCCCTTCGGGGGTGGGTCGGTCGGTCGGCGTAAAATAATAAATTTTGAAATTGAAATAAATTCGGCCGAACCTGCCACGTCATCTACTTTTGCGGCTAGCCCATACGGGGCCCACCGGAACCGCGGAAAATGGCTCTGATTTCGGGTAGAATCCGGGAATTTCAAGTCTTCGTTA